AATTCTCCTTTCAGTCGTTGTTTGTGTCAGCAAAAATATCTGTGCTGAAGTTCCATCAGTTTTAAGGATAGCATGGAATGTTCTGTAAAGGTCAATTTAAGAAAAGAATAAAGATTTGTTTTTGTAAAATACGTTGAGACAATATCATCAGTATTTAGACATGTTGCTTCTTGTGGGATTTGCAGGAGGTGGATCGCTACAGGACGGCAATGAGAAAGATGGCAGCTGATCTCCTGCACGTGCGAGAGGATTGCAAACGTTTAGAGGTGATTAGTTGTTGAGTATTAGGAACCGTCTTGTTTTAGTAAGTATAGTATAGTATAGTATAGTATAGTATAGTATAGTATAGTAAGATGAGTTGGTAATTTCAACTCGTTGTTTGCACAAGTCCAGCTCAGCGAAAACTTTGTTTTCATTTCAACCTTTTTTTAATTCTAGAAGGCTTGTGTGCTTCTAGGTTGCGATAAATTTTTAAATTATCAAGGGACGATCAGGTTAAGTTTATTTTCAGTTGTAATTGATTATTTCAGGAAGCCAACAGTAAGCTGAGGAGAGAGTTGGGCCAACATGACGAGATATCCAGGTTAATGGTCAGCTCCAAAGACTTAGATAATGTGACACATTCTGAGCTGGTACAGAAGTTTGGTAAGAGTTACTGTACCCTTGTTCTCGGCCGCTACGAAATACAACGTCGTCGTTGCCTAAAACAGTTACTGTTAAAGTTTTCTTACAATTGGGTGAAAGACTAATGAATGAAAAGCAGCATATACTAAAATAACGGTCTTGAAACTATTTGTGTTTTACTTCAAGCCATGTTCAGCGAAATACATTCCTCTTTTTGCCTTGTAGCCCGTGTCCTTGCACTTGTTCTTGTTCACATGTTAAACCCTGTTTTTTATCACAGACTAATGCTGTCATTTTTTGTTTGCATAGAGCAGTCGTGTTGGTGTTCTCTAGCAAATACTATGAAATGCTTGACTGGGTCTTCGTGTTTTTACTGGTTTTATTCTGCCGATGACCGACACCGCAACATAACTTTCTACTTTTCGAATTTTCGCACTTGCAGTGCTCCTGAAAAAGAAGTTTGCAGATGAATCCGCAAAGAAACAAGAAATGAAATCAAGACTTCAACACCTTCAGAATGATCTTATCAAGGTGGCTTTATATTGTCCCTGATTTACTCATAAGATCCGATAAGTGATTCTCAGGCCTTCTAGCAGCTGCTATCTCTTTCCTTATCGTTAGCTTGTTCATTAAAGTTTTGAAATTATTAGCAATGACATGTCTAATACTTCTATACACAAAAAAAATACTGACGAAGTTATATATTTACAGAAAAATGAGATGGAGAAGGATTTTTTGAAACTACAAGAAGCTCACGAAGGGCAACAGGCACTTCTGCAAAAGTTGCAGGTGAGCGGGATATGCTATAACAAATAGATGTATAATTTTGTTAGTTCTTGTCGCATTTGAAAAATTAGTGCTGGTAATCTGTGAACATAACTTAATTCGACGTACCGTAACCTAATGGTGTCACCGTAACCTAATGGTGTCACCGTAACCTAATGGTGTCACCGTAACCTAATGGTGTCACCGTAACCTAATGGTGTCACCGTAACCTAATGGTGTCACCGTAACCTAATGGTGTCAACCCTAAATAACGTGCATTTTAAAGAATGCTGTGTTCATTCATAGTCTAGAATTGCCATCGTGATAACTTGCCGTACTTTTCTTGATGATATAGTTTCCACGACCTGAAAAAGGGATGGAAAAGACATATTAAAGAAAAAGTGCTAGAATGTTGCTTGTAAACTTTGTAGTGTGGTGGAATTTCTCCCATTACCATTGTCAAAAAGTTCTGTCGGTGCAATTGTAGAGTCCAATTTTCTTTTAAACTCCCACAACCACTCCTTTGCTCCACTCATTATTCTGGTATTTAATTCTACTTGTGTCACCGTCTTTTGCTCACACATGTACAAACTCTATGTTTGGGTTGAAAAAACTGATCTCGAGTGTCTTCGCTGGCAGGGAAAGGTACAAAAGGCTCAGACGATTCAAGATACCTGCAAGAAACAAGAAAAGGTGAAAAACCATCGAGCGAGTTTGTGAGACTGAGTTGTGAACCTTCCAGACAAAAGGCGACAGTTAATGTTTAAATACACATCCTTTGTAGGTTATTGTACAACTCGAGCAGCTTTTGGCCCAAAAGGGAAAGGGACCATACAATGGAGGTGAGTTACCTTTGAAACGCACCTGTATATCAAGATGAATTACATTTGTTATCAGTTTATAATAAAGAAACTTGTACGAGAATGATTATAAAAAAATACTTGTGTTACAAGGGCGAGTCCAGAGAGGCAAAGTTATTAGTTTTCAGAGAAACTATTCCGTTGCAACGAAAGGAGTCTCGGTTTCAACTATGCACACAGAATGATTGTCTTCGGTTGGTAGCATAAAGGGAAACTAAATTGATAGCCGTTGGAGCAGAAGATCACATGCGCTTAGTATCTCATCCACACCTACCACACCCTTATACCCAACATGATGTTACTTATAAGGCAAATCATAACTCGTCTTTATTCGACGATCAAGCTCAAAATTTACCATCTTTCTGCATATATTTACCAACTATAATCTCCAACTAGTCTCTATAGAAACTGGCGAGACTTACAGAAAACTCAGTGAAGAGAATATCAGACTACAGGCAGAGGTTTTGCAGTACAAGGTACTTATAAGTTTTATTATAGTGTTTTTTAGTTTGACCTGTTTTGGAGATGCTAAACACGCGGAGGGGACACTTTTACCTTGAAAACACGCACACATTTGAAGCAGTGGGATAAAACAAGGCCTGGATAGCGCCAAAAAACCTCTGAATGTGTTGTAATATATCGAAAATGCCCTGTTTAGTTTGAATAACGTTCATTCTTCTGAAAACTACTTTAAGATATCAGTGCTCCTTCCCAATCCTCTATCTTTTAAACGCCCTGTGCGTAATAATCGCCCCCCTTCCTCAGGGAGGCGGTCAGTGGACCCCATAGCCAGAAGCGTTCTCAGCAAGGTATGAAGAGCACACAGTCACTAAAGAAATCAATCGGTTGACACCTCTGGCTCTTGGTCAATTAAATTAAGGGAATGTAAATTGCGCATTTTGTTCCATCTCATGTTCAAAACGAGGATTGTACATTTTGCATTTCCCAGGAGCACATCAAAATGGATCAGTTTCCTAAATCCCGCTAAACCCATCGTCAAACTCACTCTATTTCCTGTCAATATATATATATATATATTGTAATATATATTGTAGGATATATATATATATATATATATATATCCTACTGATCAAATAAACATGGTTTGTGTCCACTGAATTTTTCGGTGGAAGGAAAGCTACTAGATAATTTGTTTTCCTCTCGTAATCAGGAGCAGTTGAAGGCAGCCGAAGCTAAGCTGAAGAAACCAAGGTATGTAACTTAATTTTTCAGTACACATGTACTTTCAGCCATCTTACATCGTTCGGTGATAATCGGCCTCTATCCACTTTTGAGAACTTTTCAGCGTGAGGTTGCCAGTCGGATTGCGGCTTCAGCTAGAGATAACGTTTTGGACCATACTTCTAATCCTCTGGATTCGCCGACGAAAGCGGCTCTTTCATCCGTTGGGATCGTTAGTTTTTAAGAGTCAAAGTGATTAGAGAGGGAATAAATGCCTGGGAGACTGTCACGAATTTACCATGGGAACTGAACCTTTCATGAAACTACCAGTTGAGGAGGATACGTAGTGGTGACTGACTGCTTGTCTGATTTTGTTTCAGATCACCAGGAGAACAGCGAGTGGTTGGTGCAAGTGTAAGTGCGTCACTTTTGAATCAAAGGCATTTTATTACTAGTTAACTGGTTTCTTTAACAGGGAAGTGTTCAGTTAACACAAAGCTTTCACTGAGAGAGCCACGCTATGGATGTGGTTTCCAAATGTTTCGGCTGCCCATTAATTAGTGGAAAAAAACAAATTCTCTGCGAGTGGCGTAAAGTTTCAATTGAAAATTTATAGTGGGCCCTTGGCTAAAGATGATTTTTGAGTAAGTCCAAGGTTAATACGTAGTAATTTTGCCTTGAAGATCGAGAAATCTTCTTAGCCATAAAGGCAGATGGATGACGAGTTTTGAGAGTGGAAATCTCGATCACTCCATGGAATTCCCATTTTGTTCACAGGACAGTAATGATTACAGTAGTATAAACACTTTTAGGGAAAGAGATGTAGGATGAGATCCACCTATTTTTTTCATTCCAAAGGTTTTATTTTCGCCGTTGATAGAGTTCAAATGTTTTTAAAACATGACGAGACTTGCATTGCGCAAAAGTCTAATTGAAATGTCTGTCTGCAGAATGGACCGATGTCAGACATGGAACGACTGGAACTTTTTGAAAAACTAGAGAAAGCGGAGGGACGGATTGTTGCTCTTGAAAAACAGGTGAAGCACTCAGCTGCATTGTTTCACTTTTATGAAGTGTAGAGGTTTGCTTTATCTGACATGTCATAAGGTGGTCAAAGTTTTTTTTATTGAATTGTTCATTTTATCCTTTGCTATCCTCTGCTAAGTCCACTCAGTCATTCGGGTGGGAAGACAAGAAAACTGTCAGATAGACAAATGAATAAAGGGGGTAACTTTCTGAAGAAACTGGTGCTGCGTCGGTGGGAGAGTATAGTAGGTAATGTAGTGTTCACAACTGAGTTGAAAGCGTAAATTGGCCACCATAAAGAGTTCAAAGGCTGACGTTTCGAGCGTTTCTTGTCGCTCTGACGAAGGGCTAACGCTCAAAACGTCAGCCTTTTAATTCTTTACGGTGTCCAATTTACGTTTTCAATTCAGTTGTTAACACTGAATTGTCTGTTAGACGGTCAGTCACGATGGATGGCTGGTTGGCAGGCGGTAGGCCGTCAGACAGACAGACTGACAGACAGGCAGACAGTCGAACACACAGACCAACAGGCAGGCAGACAGACACTTACACAGAAAATTAATATCTGGTTAAAAAACTGAAAAAACAGCGCAGAGATGTAATAAACTTAGCTCTAATATAGTTTCCTCGGTTTCCTTGCGTTGTTTCTGTAGTTGGCAGATAACGTCAGAAAATGGGCAAAGGATAAAGCCGACCTTCAGGTGACTATTTTTCTCATCTTGGAGTGACAGTGTTGGCACATTTTTTTTTTTCGGTCTAAGAAATCTTTTGGTCCACCAAGTCTTGGTTCTCTATATCTATCAACATTTAAAGTTACCTATCTATTTTCTTTCCGAGGCGTATATTGTTTTAAAATTACTATGGATAGTATCAGTTTTGTCGATGTTCCTTCCAAAATGGAAAGGAGAAGTCAGTGATGATGTGTTGTTTGAGTAGCTTTGTGTTTTATTTACGCAGATGAAATTAAACGAAAGTCAAGTCGCTCAGAGAACAGGATACAAAAATTCTTCCACTTCTGTAGATATTCTGGACTGGGTTTGTATTAGTTTCCTTCTTTTTCTCCAAGTAACTTTTGTAAGACTTCAAACTAAGTGGTTGCAGATATAAGAGAAAAACTTGTGTCTGAATACTGCCTCAGTATTGTTGTGAGTGACCGTGATAGTGCTAGTATCTCACACATATTCATCTCAGCTGGAACATGAGAGCCCACTTTCTATCCTGGCCTTTGTTCTGTCTTAACTAAGTGGCAATACACAAGAAATTTGTTTCCTTGAAGATCGGCTTGTTCTGCTGATCGATAAATAAAGTTATTGTTGCATATACCTCATGCATTTTTCTGTCTAGTTAGTATGGCTGTTTGGGTAAACAATACGTATAGGGGTGTATGAAAAGAGTTTACAAAAGCCAGGGCCGAGATCTTGTGACGAGAACGTTACCCCTCTATATACTATTAACTTTCAAAGATTAACGTAGAAAACCTTACGTTATGAAATCCAGACCTTTAGGACCAACTGTAAATCCACCCCGATGTTTAGAGTTTTTATTATTCCACAGCATAATGGACCAAAGCCAAATTCACCTTCAAGACATTTGGGTCCGCGACGACCGTCACCTAAACTGGATCCTTTGGAGAGAAGATAGCATTTAGAACTTAGCCAGTCTTAGTGGATTATTTCATGATCAGAGGACACTGGGCTCCAGCTAGGCACCAACTATCCCGAACGCCAGTCCAAGATCTGAATATTAATTTTCCTGACTAAACCATGCATTCTTTGTCGAGTGTTCCTCGGAATTTGTTTTTATGTCTAGGTAGTAATCCCCCACTTGATTAGAGCGCTTTTCAATCGAGTGTCGTAAATCCAAAACCAAAGCAAGAAGAACTACCAATCAGAATCAAAGAAACTATCGCAAATAGGAGCCAATGAGTGCTCGAGGCAAAAACAAGTAAACTTCCCGAGCGGGAAAACACCAGTCACCAAGTTAAGATTGGTTTTTGCATCTGATTGGTTGAGAGGATAGCACAAGTGATCTTGACCAATCACAGAGCGAAGTAAAGCAAAACCAAAAGTAATCTCGAATGTCTTTCGACTCTCAATTGAAAATTGCTCTGTAATTCGACCATCATCACTTATTTGCTAAACCTCTGTGATGTTAATTTACACAATTATAGGAATAGGAGGTTAGTTGAGCCGTCTTTACGAAAGGCCATACGAATTGTTTTGTCAAGAATTTTTTGGGACTCACCGAAAATTCCTTAAATCCAAGAAATGGCGGGTTAGAAGTTGAATACATTTACGATCTGTGTACTTCACTACAGTTCTCTAATAACAACCGATTCACCATCGTGGAAGTCGGGAATAATCATCGTAGCGGGGAATGTTTCATTAAACTGAATTCCCAAAATTCGCTTATTGAAAGTTTTTTCAGGCTCTGAAGAAGGGTGACATGACGTCAGTTCTGAAAGATTATGATTGATGTCATGGTTATAGTTTCTTCCTTATAACTCATTAAGTTATTTTCTACAAAGTGTTCAAATGTGTTCAATAAAAAAGAAAATCTGATGAAGCAAGTAATTATCCATCAACTAAAAAATTGGATGGGGTTGAGAATACGAAGTAAGGATTAGAAAAATACATATGTTTATTATTATTATTATTATTTCTATTATCACTATTATTATTATTAATATTAGTAGCAGCAGTAGCAGCAGCAGCAGCACCAGTAGGAGTAGCAGTAGTAGTAGGAGTAGCAGGAGTACTAGTAGCAGTAGCAGGAGCAGTAGCAGTAGCAGCAGGAGTAGCAGTAGCGGGAGTAGTAGCAGTAGCAGCAGGAGTAGCAGTAGCAGGAGTAGTAGCAGTAGCAGTAGGAGTAGTAGTAGTAGTAGGAGTAGCAGTAGCAGTAGCAGGAGTAGTAGCAGTAGCAGGAGTAGTAGCAGCAGCAGGAGTAGTAGCAGTAGCAGGAGTAGTAGCAGTAGCAGCAGGAGTAGCAGTAGCAGCAGGAGTAGTAGTAGGAGTAGCAGTAGCAGCAGGAGTAGTAGGAGTAGCAGGAGCAGGAGTAGCAGTAGCAGTAGCAGCAGGAGTAGTAGTAGGAGTAGCAGTAGCAGGAGTAGCAGCAGGAGTAGCAGTAGCAGGAGTAGTAGCAGCAGCAGGAGTAGTAGCAGTAGCAGGAGTAGTAGCAGTAGCAGGAGTAGTAGCAGTAGCAGCAGGAGTAGCAGTAGCAGGAGTAGTAGCAGTAGCAGCAGGAGTAGCAGCAGCAGGAGGAGTAGCAGCAGCAGGAGTAGTAGCAGTAGCAGGAGTAGTAGCAGTAGCAGCAGGAGTAGCAGTAGCAGCAGGAGTAGCAGTAGCAGTAGCAGTAGCAGTAGCAGTAGCAGTAGCAGTAGCAGTAGTAGTAGTAGTTGCGCAATTATTTTTCCCTCTTTGTGGACAGCCGTTGTCGTTGACTGCAATGATTTGTTCATTTAGGCTGTACCATTTCCGATAAAACTTGTTCATTCGTGTTTCGTGTATCTACTAAGTCTGGTCAACTAGGGTTAACAGACAGTTTCTTAATTGTCCAAGCCATTGATCTTTCATTTTACCAAAGGCGCATGGTTCATATATCTTTCTTTTATTTATAGTCTCGTTCACCTCGTGCTCTTCATACCCTCCGCATCAAGTAGATAGCGCAGTAAGTTTTGCTAACACATCCGTTGGATAGTGTGATGCGCCTTTTGAACAACTGAGCTCTGAATAATTTACAATGAACAGACGATGATCGTGTAATATTCTATTCAATAGCGTGTTGTAAAAAAACTGTTGAAATTCTCGCGCAGTCATTGATCTAAGGCCATTTTTATTATAAAAAATATATTCCTCTCTTCAATATTAGATCATAGATGACGTCAAAATGTGTGAGAACAAAACAGCGGCAGAGGCGTAGCCGAGGCCCCTCCGAAAATAACAAAATTTTAGACCAGCATTCGGCTTTTATTCAAGTTAAAAAAAGAATATTTCTGAACACGATGAAAGAAAACGCCAAGGACAGAACAACGATCGACAAAATGGTTCTTTCAGGGAACTATATTCTACGTTGATCATATCCGATATAATTATTTGATAGGCTACCTCGGATCTTCGGATACTTAGACTATGAGAGACATGAGAGGATGTGCAAACTTCTGTAAGTTTCTTTATGCAGAGAAGTGAGATTGATCTTTAACATGGTGTGAAAAGAAGTACATAAATACACTTGTCCGAAGATATCGAAACGGTTTCTGGGCTGGCCGACATCTCGCTTCGAAGCGTCCACAACTACATGGAGCCCTGTTGAACCGCTGAACAGATCGTGGGTTACATCTGTAGGCACAACTTCCATATTCATGGCGTTTACCATTTGTCTTCTGGAGTGTTTCTGACCATATGCCTTGAGGCTATTGGATCTTTCCGAGTAATAAACAAATGCATCAAATAAGCAAGATGGAGTCAGACGTGGGTTGTCCTTTGGAACTTCCGCCGAATGCAGTATTTAGGGGATTGAGATCTATCTATTGGTGAAGGAAAACGTAGCGATAATAACCATGTCGTCTTCCGAAGCAGCGAATGCTGCAAGTAGCCACCAGGAGCAGAGAGAGCAGAAGGTTCTTGATGTCATGTTTCTCTGCGACGAATGGAAATCTTCGAAGGGTGGATTATCGACTTTCAATCGAGAATTTGCCATTAATTTGGCAGAAGCGACGACTGGTAGCATGAAAATCCATTGCTATGTCTCTAATAGCGATGATCAGGACAGAGAAGATGCTGAACAACATGGTGTCAATTTAATCACAGCTGGAAGTGTTCCTGGTTCAGCCGACCCCCTCGAGTGCTTGAAGTTTCCACCCTCAAAGCTCCCAAAGCCACATCTGGTAATAGGCCATGGACGAAAGCTGGGTAGTCCTGCGTATTCCCTTGTACAGATTACAAAGTGTAAATGGATCCAATTTGTTCACGTCTATTGTGAGGACCTTGGGAAATATAAAGAATCTGCTACGGCTGCAGAAGATACAATCGAAGAGAACGAGGCGAAGCATAAGATGGAAATTGAGTTATGTAAAGCAGCGGATGCAGTTGTCGCCGTTGGCTCCCGTCTACAACAGAAGTACAGCAGACGTCTCCTTAATGTTGAAGTGAAGATTATCACTCCTGGGATCTTTGGAAAGTTTTCCAGTGAATCAAAGTTGGCTGTAGACAGATCGGTAGTAAAGAATTTCAACGTGTCTATGTTTGGCCGAGCTGCTTTCGAGGATCTTTCCCTGAAAGGCTATGATTTAATTGCAAATGCCATTGGTTCTCTTGGTAAGAACTTTGAGTTGACATTTGTCGGCTCATCTCCCGGTGAACAACGAAAAGTTGAGCAATGGTTTCTTGACAACACGTGCATCAACCGCAACCAACTAACCATCCGTCGATATTGCAGTGAACAAGAGGAACTCAAGGTGATGTTCTATCAGTCAGATTTGGTTGCTCTGCCATCCCGTACCGAAGGATTTGGGCTTGTTGCCCTCGAGGCCATCTCGGCTGGTGTTCCAGTACTCGTTTCTGATGAATCTGGCATAGCTGAAGCTTTGCAAAAAGTAGAAGGTGGAAACACTGTCATTGTTGGATCAGGTGACGATAAAGATGAATGGGCACGAAGGATCAGAGAGATGTATGAAGAAAGCGCAGAAGAGAGAGAAGCCAATGCTGTGAAGCTTCGCGAGAACTACAGGAAAGTTTACTCTTGGAAAGCAGAATGTGAGAGGTTTAAAGGGCTGATTGAAAATGTTGTGAAAACTGCAAATGGTGAGCCCACTTCTTTTAATTTTTCTTTTTTTTTCAGTACATTTACTGAAATGTCATGCTACATGTACAAGCTAAACCTTATGTGTAGAATGAGCCACATAAGATAAACTGAATACTAGTACATGTAGATAAGCATTCGAACAAGTAAAGTGCTCCTGTATGTCCGGAGTTGTTACATTTATCTCGACTTGTGGTTGTACCACAAGTGAATTGTCTTCTTGAATTTTTTTTATATTAAATAGAGGGGTATGTATCTTGCACCAATCAGATTGCCACTTATGAGTATGTATCTCACACCAATCAGAGTGCTGCATGAGGGTATTTATGTTGCACCAATCAGATTGCTGGATAAGGATAATCGCCACATAAACTGCTGTGTTATGCAAGGATTTTTGGCCCTGAGAAAAGCTGTAACAACACATGTGAAAAAATATTGTATTTTTTCATGTGTTGATATAGCCAATCAGTTGCACGTCAGTTGCCTTTGGCACCACTTGGTCAGGTTGATGAATGAATGGCAAAGCCTTCATGATTCTCAATACAAGTTGTTTGTTGGAGTTTTCTCGAATTATGGCGGCTAAAACACTTAAAAAATCCTTATCACTGGCAGACAATGAGGTTCAAAGTTTCCTAGAAAGGGAAGGAAACCAATATACTAAAGAAAAACCAGAAGTTGTGTATTCAGTGGCTTTGGTGTTAGCATTTCTCTTGTCTGAGAATGAAAATTGACAACTGGAAGATTTGCCATCAGCTGATTTTGGCTGTTTACCTGAAAGACTTCTTCTGTCAGTAAGGACAGCATTCAAAGTGCAATCAGAACATACCCGATAATAGCACTACATGAACATTGGGTAATTTTTAATGTGCTAGAATTGTACTCCACCAATCAAATTCCATTTTACCTCATTAGACTTTGCTCCATGACATGTCATTTTCCTGTAGACAACTTGCATTTTATCATGTATTCTAACTGCGTTTTCTAACCCCGCTAAAAGAAATTCACACAGAACAAAATGGGATTGATAGTGAACTTTCCTTGCAATTCTCCCATGTTTTGAATTTGTCTACAAATAAAATTTGCTTTTAGCTACCTTGGACTTAACCCAATTGCATGTCAATTTATTGTAAACAACCTTCGTTTTATCATGTAATTCACACACAGAGGGCACAGTCTAGATAGGCAACAACCAATCAAGGAGCCCTCTTTGAATTATTATCCTTTCCTCTTGTTCAATGTATCTTCACTTAATCAAGATTGTAATTAGAGACACAACAGAACTTCAGTGTGTGTTTTGTATTAAAATTAGATGAAATCCTATTTTTGGGACAACTAACTGTAGACAAGTAATTTTGATTTTCTCTCCGCAAGAGGAACAGCAGTGAACATGGTCTCTTTGGTAACCATTATTTGGTCTCTTCACCCAACATGCTCTCTCTCAAATGGGGAATAGGCAGTGTTATGTGAGGAGACCAAGCAACAGCTGCAAAGGAGACAACAGTTAGCGTGGCACTTATGCAATTTATTTTTCCTTAGAAGTATTCGGACAATAGAGAAAATAGGAATGATAGAATGAGATAAAGATGCAAAAAAAAACTGAAACAGAAGCGATACATACTGTATGTGGTAATCATTTTCATCATAATGTTGTTGGTATCTGTTCATTGGTAACAAGCTCTCTGTTTGTTTGCTTTTGCCTCAATATAATGTTCTCACATTTTAATGGTTAAATAGGTAAGAGGTGAAAAAACCTTGTTATAGTAAGATTAAATTTGACTGTTACAATTTAACAGGTGGTAAGTTGAATGTTAAGGTTGCGGTGGATGACTTGAAACCTGAAGAACAGAATATGCAGACTGGCATGTTGGCAACAGAGTCTGCCAGATGTCAAGGGGTTCCGCAGCCTAGGGCATCTGCTACATCAACTGCATCTGGAAGTGTGTCCTATTCACAGAAAGAGGATCTCAATGCCCTTGAAAAGAAAATCTTTCTATCAATTGTGCAAAATTATCTCCAGACCACACCACCACAGTCTCCTGAAGAGCACAGTAGGTTCATGGAATACACACAAAAAATGAGGCTCATCATTACTGGTGTTGCTGTAGGAAGTTTGGTGATAACAGTGAAGTGTGAATCTCTAAAGATATTGGAGGAGTTGTGGACAGATTACTCATCTGGTCATCTTGGTGAAGTGGTTCAGAATTGTTTTGTCACTGAAAAGATCTTGAAGGAACTGAACCTGGCTGAGCTGAGGCTGAAGACAACAATAGACATAGAAGAGTACCATGCAAGTAAAATGTTCTTTGAGAAAGATGCTCTTAGAGGTTGGTAGAAAGAATGTAACATGGCCTGGTCCTGTCATAAAATATTTGTAAAGGGTTTTGAATGAAATCCATCAGTCTTTCAACACATGGAGTATAGTAGGGTACATGTCTTCAGGGGATGGATCTAGTTTTTGATCAAGATTGATGGAACTTGTCTTGACCATGAATAAACTTATGCTGACCACAACATGTAAACCATGCCAGTGCAAGATGTAATTTGTTTGTAAGACATTTCATTCGATGTTTGTTCTTCTCAAACATCTCCAGTAGCCTGTTATCTTGTTGTTGTATTTTTCTTTTCTTAATTTATTAGATTACATATATTTAATAACAAAAGATTAATCAGCAAGCTTTATGTTGGAGGGGTTATGAAAGAAAATTTGATTAGTTTTTGTATGTTAGGTGTTTTTAAAAATAGTTTGAGGTATGTCTATGGTTTGAAATGTCTGTCTTCTTGTAAATCTGATTTAGGTGCTTTATCCTCTGAATTCTACTCCACAGGTTCAACCAGTAGAAGTCCACTAACAAAAGAACAAGGGGAAAAAAGTGAAAGGAAGACAAAGATTATAGAGACAGCAAAGTTGGAAGGTGAAAGGAAATTGAAAAAACTTGAATTTAATTTAATTAGCTATTATGGAAAGCTGATGCAAACAGTAATAACAATTATGTGATGCATGTCTGAAGAATTGGCTCCATGCAATAATGTGGCATCAGTTAATTAATATAATTGTATACAGTTCCACTAATGAGAACAAAACATTTAAAGAGTAGCTGTAAATGGTAATCTCTCTCTGCTTTTTTCACCCTTGGGTACTTCACCCCTTACTGTAGTACCCACCACTGGTTATGGAAAAGAATTAGAAGAACCACGGGGAAGGAAAGGTGAATGGGATGCTCTGTTTGAACCCATTTCTAAAGTTAATGTAATTAAAACATGTTGCTCATTATGTTCAGCTATTAATCCAAGTGGAAAGTTTTATTTTATTGAAAGTTATTGACTATTTAAGGTTCTTCATGTCGGTTGAGTTTTTCCATTTGTTATTGGGAAAAAAAACCCACTTTTATGTGGATTTAGTTGATCTACCCTTAAAACTGAAATCAAACCACCTTGAAATGAATAAAAAGATGTGGGGCTTACTACTTTCAGTTGTTTTTGCTGACATGTTTAGCATGAGTTCCAGTTTGGGTTCAGTTCCCCAGACATGGTCCAAAAGAAAAAGAAAACAACATAGCAATTCACTGACTTGTTGTATTGAAGCGTTGATATTGAAGAAGTGGACGAATTCATAGGTGCATAAATTGGCCAAAAAAGTTGTAGGAGTGAAGCTATGAAACTTCAGGAAAAGGGAGGAGAAATGAAACAATAACCTATATGTGGTTTTAGTCATCTTTTAAAATAGAAATTAATGTTATTAATGAGCAAGAATGCTTCTGTCAGCAATTATGAAAAATGACACTTGTCAATGCAAATTATTTCAAATGTGTTTTTGCCTCACTCTCTTCTCTAGTTAAAGGTACTGTTGAGTTTCCAGGTAATAATGAAACATTACTTACATATAGACTGAATGCTCTTTTAGTTGTTTTTAACAGCTTCTTTTTCGGGTTTAAAGCATCTTTGTTTAAATAAAGGCAATCTACAGTGAACATGTACCTACTGGTATCTTTAAATACAAGTTGTACGCCTGTTTCTAACTATTTATCTGTAGAAATGCTAATCTCTCACTGTATACCTTTGCTTTTAGGCATGTTGCCTCTTCCTGGATCTTCCACCTTTGATCCTGAAGAAGAACTAGTAGAGCCACGTTTGAAACGTCAAAGAATGGAAGGTGAATAAAAAGATGCTGTTAAATTAACTTTGATGGTAAAACTAAACTAAGAATGCTTTTAAATACATTTATTTCTCATTCAAATTTTTTTTTTAAAGGAAATTACACCCAGTTTAGTTTTCCCTCACTCTGTGTTTTACCATAAGGGAATATTAAGATGGCAGACTGGCTGGGGTTGGTGAAACAGTATATAATGATAAACTAGGTCTTTTTAACGTTGGTCTCAATTATGCCTTAAAAAGCTGACAGTTATATAGTACAGGTAGATTTTGTACATTGTTTACAATCTATTAATTACATGTTGGGTTGACCTGTTATCATGTTACTATTAAAAGTAACACCATGAATTCCTCTTTGTACTTTTCCCCTTAAGGTTGACTCCCATTGCTGTGGACACCCTCAGGGGGAGATTTAGTGTCTGTAGTAGCAAAAAGTTTGTAATAATGGGGTACAAGAGAAATGAACATTTGTTTTGTTTCTTAACATATGAAATAAAGTTTCCACAAACCGGAAAAAGATCTGGCTGTAAGCAGAAAATTTCATATGTTCACACCCAATTGAAGAATGGTTTCTTTATTTCCCTTTTTCATAATGTCGGTTCATAGTATGCTAGTCATGATTTTGGAAAAAGTAAATAAGTGTCTGTTACAGCAAGAGAAAAAACAAGTGAAAAGTCATGCTGGGGGTAAGGAAAGAGTCTGTATCATTGCAATAGCAAGAGTCTGTTATAGAGGGAATGTATTTCAGTCATTTCTGTATGTGTTTCTCCAGGGGCTGGCTCTTGTCTACAGTGGCAAAGTGTCTGTAATAATGAGGTGATCGCAGGGCTAGAGTCAATTGTAGATTAATCCAAATTTGGCATTGTCTCATTCTCTACTTTAGCTAAAGATGGTATTGAGTTGGCATGCATAATAGTTGTTTTAAACAATGATCATTGGAGTTGTAATGGAGAACTAAGACTATTTAACTTTAACATGACTATAATTTGCTGTTTGCACAGGTGTACCTGTTTTTATCTTTTCTGTGTTAAGTAAGCCACTGAATTTTGAAAAGCTCTGTATACCTTTGCTCCCAGGTTCTTCATCTCCCCCTCTTCTCTCCACCACTGATCTTGAAGAAAAGATAGGGAGAGTATGTGTGCACCATAGGATTAAGTGATCATATAAAACGACCTCTTGTTGCAGCGTTTAGATCACCCCTAGACATGAACTAGACAGGAGTGTCGAAACGTTGGGTCTATGAATTGTAACTTCTTCGGTTACATTCATTAAATCTGCAAACCAGAGTAGCATCAAACTATGTCTGATTGTCCACCTGGTTGCCGTGTGAACTTTAATATATTTTAAAGGCACATGAGTTGCGCATTTTTTTCGATCGTACGCGCAAAACAATCGTATATGTGCGCCTGACTTCCGTGTGTCTGAGCGTATGTAATTCGTCTTCGCAGTTAACATATACGCGAGGGGTACTGTATCATTCATAACACTGAGAGACCACAAACCGAACTTCAAACCAACCTGCCGACTAGTCAACCCCACCAAATCCGAGATTGGCAGAATCAGCAAAACAATCCTCGACAGAATCAACAACAAAATCACGAGAGCATCCAAGTTCAACCAGTGGAGAAACACGGCATCTGTGATCGAGTGTTTAAAGCCATTAAAAACAAAAATACACCACAGTTTTATTTGCTTTGACATCGAAGAATTCTATCCCTCCATCAGCCAAGACCTCCTGAACAGAATACTCGACTTAGCTTCAGCCTACGACATCACCAACGACGAAGAAACATCATGTAACACATGCAAAACATTCGATCCTTATGCACAAACAGCAACCTTGGCAAAAGAAGGTCGATACAACATTTGACGTCCCAATGAGCAGCTACGACGGTGCTGAAACATGCGAGCTAGTAGGAAGCCTTTCCTCCTTTCCCAACTGCAAAACCTCAACATCAACATCGTACTTTACCGAGACGACGGACTGGCCATTTCAAACGCCACACTGAGAGAAACAGACAACAGAAAATATGCCGAGGTTCTTTCGACGAGGCGTCGTAGGAAGTTGTTCCGTGATGGTAGAGGAATATTGAACCATCGCAAACTGATTTCTCAGAACGCTTCGTCGAAAAAAATCGAGCAGTTTCTTCGCAGAATGCACTGGAAAGCTTGCTTCTTCTTCAACCCTGATACGGCCACTCACTCCGAAGATACACACGACTTCAAGTCTAGCAAGAACCCCCCTCGGATCGACTAGTTAAAGGAATTTGAAGATGACATGCTAAAGATGATATTTACGAAACATTTTAAACATGTAGACTGAACAGTTTTCAGTTTTTCTCAACAGTTTTTTTTCGGTTTTAGAGCATTTTTGTTCAAATAAAGGTAATCTACTTTTACTTTTAAAAAAGTGAAAATCAAACATTTTCAACACCAGGTAATCATCACCATGAAGACTAAATATCTTAGCCATGTAAATAGCTCAGTGGCATCAAATGTTTTAATATTTTTTCCAGTAAATATTTTTAAGATAAATTAGTCCCTTTCTGAGATATTAACCTTTTCCTGTCTTTATTTTCATCCATAAATACTGTTTAATGCTCTCAGCTGTTATTCAGTAGCCTAGTTTTGGTCAGTAATATATTTTCAATTCAGTTTTGCCTCTAAATCCATAACTTCAGTTAGAGCTAGTATTAAATTGGCTGTGGCATGTGATAATGAAGCAATACTTAAAGATAGCTTAGCTCATTGTTCTCTCCCTTGACCTCAATACATGTTAGTATGCCTTTACTTTTTATATCAGGTTAGGAACTAAGTGCTAAATATATTTATGTGTACCTTTGCTCTCAGGTAGTTTTCCTGTCCTTAAATTTTCAACCATTAATCTTGAGGAAACACTAGCATATGTGAGGGTGGAGCTTCAGAGACTGGAAGGTGAATACAAAATGTTTATTGATTCACTATCATAGAGAAATAAATTCAAGAATGCTATTAGAGGCTTTCATCCCTGTATCGAAGTATCACTTTTCAAGGGAAATTATTCTTTATTTAAAAGAACCTGGTATCTGATTTTATTACTATTGATGAATGCTTCCACTCCTTATTCAAATAATACATTTTCATGGGAAACTATTCCCTAGTAAAGATTATCCCACTTCCTTTGTAGTTATTAAGCGAGATTGCTGTCCTATACTTTCAGGTATTATGTAAAGTGTTACCTTTTATATGAGTTTTTTCTTAATTTAGTTTTCGTTATTCTGTGCTGTGGCAAAAGAGAGTATTAAGTTGGCTGTGGCTTATTATGATGACACACTTTTTCGAAATGGTTGAATTCAACAATGACCATAGGAGATTAATCAGAAAACTGACACTATAATTGTGCTATTACATGACCCCAACACAATGTACAGTGCTAGTTAAATGCCTGTTTTTAGTCATTTATGTAAGGTAAGGTGCTGAATGCTAAATACAGTGTATCCTTCTGTTTACCTTTCCTATCAGGTACTTTTTTCCCCCCTGCACTCTTAAATGCTGATCTTGAAGAAAAACTGAAAAAACTACTCACAGAACTTGAGAGACAAAGAGATACAGGTGAGTGAAACATGCGCATTGGCTCCATTCAACAGGGCAAAAGAAATATGGAAAGTGATGCAAGGAAATGGTTGCACTGGTATTTTAGGCTTGTTTTTGTAAGTAACAAGCTGAAAGGTTTTAGTTTGTCATATAGGACTCCTAATTATATTATCTTCCCTCAAATATCTAAGTTCTGCATGCAACTTGCAAAAGATCACCACCACTCATTACATGTTGAAACATGGAATGATCTGTATTTACTCCATATTTAAGATAAATCCCTCCTCTTGTTTAATGCTATCAACCAAGAATGCTCTTAAATGCTTTATACCATTTTGCTTCCTTCTCTCAGGTAGTTTACCTCCCACTTTTTCCACCATTGAAGTAGAACTAGACGAACGACTCAAGAAATTTCAGAAATGGCGGATAGAAGGTGAATAAATAATGCACATTTAGAGAGAAAATAATTGTAGTAGAATGCTATTAAAATATTTCCAGTTCCTTGTAGAATTACATTACCGCTCGTGTAGACATTAACCATAGCATGCAAATGCGAATTTAAAAAAAATGTGCGCGTCAAAAAAATCGCACGTGCGCGCATAAGCTTGTTACGTTTACCTAGTTAGTAGATATGAGGTAATCCTTTTGTTTTTCTATTGTTGGCGGTTTACCGTTTTAAAGAATAGGCTAAATAGAAAAACGAATAGGAAAAAATAGAAAATAGAAATAATAGAATAGAAAAACAAAAGGATTACCTCATATATTCTAAAGAGGCAGACGTATCAAGCTTATGCGCGCACGTGCGATTTTTTGACGTGCATATTTTTTTAAATTCGCAATTTTATGCTATTTTTGGCTACAATGTAACAGGATTTAAATGCTGTTACAAACTACTGCGACTTCGTAATCGGAATATGTGAATGATTTATCATTTTTCAATGAAATTCTGTTATCAAAATTTGTCACTTCGTATTAAAAAAACATCCGTCACAACGGCTTCAGAATTCGTTCTCAGTGTATTGTAATTTCGTAGAATCAGCTAAAGCGTCCGTTTGTTACCAGCAATGCAAACCCACGCGTGAATGTTTATTTCATAGCTTTATCATCGGTGAACATGCTATTCTCGAAAACTGGTTTAGTCATCGCGCCATTTATTCAAAAACTTATAAGTTCTACTAGTTTATTTTAATGGTGTTGTGTTACATTATGGTTACCTGTCACGACTATGTCTTGTTCTTACTCATATGCATATTTTTATTGGAAACCGGATTTGCTTCTTGTTTTAATATTTGTAAAATCATCGAGCGATGTTCACCAAATTGCTCATAAAAGGGAAGGGAAAATTTAAATGCAGGATACATTTAGTTCAAGTTTGTATAAGACTCGCAGACGAGTGCAATTGGACAAAACATCAAAACAGCGATACTTATGTCGGTCAACACGGTAATCCAGGACTTTTGGAAAATTGGTGGCTCCTAAAGGAGCCGTTTTTTCATCAAAGGAAGCTGTTACTAGGCTCTTCCTTCGCGTTAGACTACAGTAGAAATAACTTTTCGGAGGTGGCTAATGTATTTACAGCACTTAGCAGCAGTCCCAGAGTCCCTGAACCGATGGATGCCCGCGACAAGTTCGTCCTTGTTAGTTGGCTTGACAACGCTACGCAAGAGAAGGTTTTTTAGTTCGTGTCAGGGGAGCTTTAAAGGATTCATGTCCAGGCTTTCAGCAGGAGTAGCCAATATTTTATGTTATTATCTTCGAATCTTCGTCATTGACATTGCGATTTACTATAACTTGACCTTTCATTGTTGTAATATATTGCGCTCCGCAACCAAACAAATCATCACGTGCGATGCGAAATGAAACCGTTTACATTTCTGTGCGTAAACGCTGAAGCGAGCGCCGATTGCAACTAAATAAAATGAAACATCATTCACAATCTTAAATGGTATTGCTTCTGATCCTCATCGAAGGTGGTTGAGGTATTAAAGTTCGAAGTTTCGAAGAAATCATCACCAGCGATGCGAACACCAAATAGTTTACATTCCGCTGCATAAACATTCAAGGGAACGCTAATCGCAATGAAAAATTGGGAAGCAATAGCAGTGAGTATTTGCTTTGATAAATTCGCGAACCGATGCGACATGCGTCAGTGTAACATTATAGCTTTTTTCATTACGTAAGTTTTCCGTTGTCGACTCGTCGCATTTTCAAACCTAAAAGTTCTTTGTTTTACACAACGATAAAATACAAAGGAAATTTATAGCACTGAATAACAAAGGCACATGAGTCGTGCATTTTTTCGACCGTGCGCGCAAAACAATCGTATATGCGCGTCTGAGTCTGAGCGTACATAATTCGTCTGCGCAGTTAACATATACGCAAGCGGTAGTGTAAAATTTTTTTCCAGGGAACTCCTGCATATGCAGCCTTCTACTGCAGTAATTATTAACCATTGCTATGCTCATTGGAGGCCTTATACATCAGTTATGTTCCTCCATTGGCACCCAGCACTTAGGTGGAGACTGTTTTCACGAATGGTAAATCCTGGCAACCCAGCCATCAGCCGTCATGTAGTAAGAAGAAAACCTCCCATTGCACTGGAAAATAAAAATTGTAGAAGAAAAGGAACAAAATACTAGGGAAAAGTGAATTTCCTCGTAGTGCATGTTAAAAGAATATCTGACTTCTTAGGATAAGCTCATTCTGGTCCTGGAAACTTTTGCTACATATGCAAAATTACAGGTACTGTTTCATGTTATGCACAGTTGGCGTGGTGCGCGCGTGCAGTGGTTTAGATCTGCACAAGTGTCAAGTGCGCGGTATTGTAGTGGATACTACTCCGGCATTTTACCAGATTGCCAAGGCGTTTTTAATTGTATCCATTTACACCCTTCAGTTTGTTAAGGCACTACAAACTTTATTGTCCGGGTCAAAGCCATAACACAGTGTACACATGCAGTTTGTAACTTGGATTTTGTTACTTGAACGTTGAAGAGCCTTTGTGGAAGCTACCTTAGAGTTACAATAATCACATGTGCTACCTGACGTTATTAACTTTACTTTATACTATCGCTGGCCACACCTGTGGGTAATATAAAGAGAATCCTGTGATCATTTGTTACTCAATGTTTTTCAGGTTGCAGCGTACCTTCCAACAGCATATACATTTTAAATGAAGGTAATCTACAGTGTACATGTACCTAGTAGTATCTTTAAATGTCAGTTGGTATGCCTTTCCCCAACTATTAATTAGTAGAAATGGTAATATCTCTCTACATACCTTATGGTTAAAAATGTTTGTCCTCTTGTAAATCGGATTTTAGCTGCTTCATTCTCTGTATTCCGCTCCACAAGTTCAACCAGTGAAAGTCCACAAAAAAAAGAACAATGGAGAAAAAGTGAACAGAAGACAAAGATTTTGGAGACAGCGGAATTGGAAGGTGAAAAGGAAATTAAAAAAACTTTTATTAAGTTATATGGAAAGCTGTTGTGAACAGTAATAACGATTATGTGATAAATGTTTGAAGAATTATCTCAGTGCAATCAATTAATTAATATAATTGTACACAGTTCCAGTTATGATAACAAAACATCTGAAGAGAAGCTGTGAATGCTAATCTCTCTCTGCATTTTTACCCTTAGGTACTTCACCCCTCATTGTGGTACCGACCACTGGTCATGGAAAAGAACTAGAAGAACCTTGGGGAAGGAAAGGTGAACAGGATGCTCAGTTTGAACTTATTTTTGAAGTTAATGTAATTGAAACATGGTGCTCATTGTGTTCAGCTTCTTCCAGTAAGCCAAGTAAAATGTTGTATTGTATTGCAAGTTATCGACTATTTAATGTTCTTCATGTTTGTTGAGTTTTTCCCTTTGTTATTGGAAAAGTACCCACTTTTAAGTAGATTTAGTTGATCTACCCTTAAAACTGATATCAAACCACCTTGAAATGAATAAAAAGATGTGGGGCTTACTACTTGCAGTTGTTTTTGCGGACGTGTTGAAGTCTAACATGGGTTCCAGTTTGGGTTCAGATCCCCCTGACATGCTCCAAGATAAAAAAGAAAGCAACATAGCAAATCACTGACTTGTTGTACTGATGCATTGACATTGAAGAAGTGGATGAATTTAGCCGTGCATAAATTGGCCCCCAGTGTACATGTACCTACTAGTATCTTTAAATGCAAGGTGGTATGCCTTTCCCCAACTATTAATTAGTAGAAATGGTAATATCTCTCTGCATATCTTATGGTTCAAAATGTCTGTCTTCTTGTAAATCTGATTTTAGGTGCTTTATCCTCTGAATTCCATTCCACAAGTTCAACCAGTGAAAGTCCACAAAAAAAAGAACAATGGGAAAAAAGTGAACAGAAGACAAAGATTATGGAGACAGCGAAATTGGAAGGTGAAAAGGAAATTCAAATTACTTGTATTGAGTTAAATGGAAAACTGTTGTGAACAGTAATAACGGTTATGTTATAAGCACTAGAAGAATTATCTCAGTGCAATGATGTGGCATCAATTAATTAATATGATTGTACACAGTTCCAGTTATGAGAACAAAACATTTGTAGAGAAACTGTGAATGCTAATCTCTCTGCATTTTTACCCTTAGGTACTTCACCCCTCATTGTGGTACCGACCACTGGTCATGGAAAAAAACTAGAAGAACCTTGGGGAAGGAAAGGTGAACAGGATGCTCAGTTTGAACTTATTTTTGAAGTTAATGTAATTGAAACATGTTGCTCATTATGTTCAGCTACTACCAGTAAGCCAAGTAAAATGTTGTTTGTATTACAAGTTATCAACTATTTAATGTTCTTCATGTTTGTTAAAATTTTTTCCTTTGTTATTAGGAAAAGTACCCACTTTTAAGTAGATTTAGTTGATCTACCCTTAAAACTGATATCAAACCACCTTGAAATGAATAAAAAGATGTGGGGCTTACTACTTGCAGTTGTTTTTGCGGACGTGTTGAAGTCTAACATGGGTTCCAGTTTGGGTTCAGATCCCCCTGACATGCTCCAAGATAAAAAAGAAAGCAACATAGCAAATCACTGACTTGTTGTACTGATGCATTGACATTGAAGAAGTGGAAGAATTCATCCGTGTGTAAATTGGCTTAAAAAGTTGTAGGAGTGAAGCCATGAAACTTCAGGAAAAAAATGTGAAATGAAAAAAGACCGTGAATGTGGTTTTAGTCATCTTTTAAAATAGAAATTAATGTTGTTAATAAGCAAGAATGCTTCTGTCAGCAGTTATGAAAAATGATACTTGTCAATGCAAATTATTTGAAATGTGTTTCTGCCTCATTCTCTTCTCTAGTTAAAGGTAGTGCCGAGTTTCCTTGCAATAAATTAAGAAAACGTTACATTCATGTAGAGTGATTACTTTTTCAGTTGTTCTCAATAGTTTTTTTTTTCGGTTTTAAAGCTTCTGTTTTTAAATGAAGGTAATCTACAGTGTACTTGTACCTAGTAGTATCTTTAAATGCAAGTTGGTATGCCTTTTCCCAACTATTAATTAGTAGAAATGGTAATATCCCTCTATCTACCTTTGTTTATAGGCATGTGGCCTCTTCCTGGATCTTCCACCTTTGATCTTCAAGAAAAACTAGAAGAGCTACTTATGAAACTTCAAATAATGAAAGGTGAATAAAAATATGCTGTTAAATTAAATTTCATGATAAAACTAAACCAAGAATGCTTTTAAATACATGTAGTTCTCATTCAAAATATTTTTTTGAAAGGAAATTTCACCCAATTTAGTTTTCCCTCACTCTGCGTTTTGCTAGAAGGGAATATTAAGATGGTAGAGGCTGAGGATGGTGAAATAGTATATAATGATAAACTAAGTTTTTTTCGATGTTGATCTTAAATTACGTCTAAAACTGAAAATTATGTAGTTTAGATTGATTTTGTACATCGTATACAATCAGTTAATCGCATGTTGGTTTGACCTGTTATCATACCACTACTAAAAGTAACATCATGAGTTGCACTTTGTACCTTACCCCTTAGGGTTGACTCCCATTACTACGGACACCCTAGCGGGGAGATTTAGCGTCTGTAATAGCGAAGAGTCTGTAAAGTTTCTGACGTGGCCTCACCAACGAGAAAAAGATTAGGCCGCAAGCAGGAAATTCTCATGTTCACACCCTTTTAAAGAATGGTTTCTTTATTTTTCTTTTTCATAATGTCGCTTTATAGTATGTTTGTCAGGATTTTGGATGAAGCATGAAGTGTCTGTTATAGCGAGAGAAAAAACAAGAGAAACGTCGTGCTGGGGGGCTTGCAAGTGTCTACATTTCGGTAAAAGGAAGAGTCCGTTTTAAAGGGAATTTATTTCGTTTCTTCATGCTTTTCCCAGGGGCTGGCTCTTGTTTGCAGTGGCGAGGTGTCTGTAATAGTGAGGGGTACGCAGGGCGAGAGTCAATTGTAGATTAATCCAAATTTGGCATTGTTTCATTCTCTACTTTAGCTTAAGATGGTATTGAGTCGGCATGTGGTAAAAAGACATAATAGTTGTTTTCAACGATGATCATGGAGTTATAATGAAGATCTAACACTGTTTTACTTCAACATGACTATAATTTGCTGTTTGCACAAGTATATCTGTAGTTATCTTTTCTGTGTAAAGTCAGACACTGAATTTTGAAAAGCTCTGTATACCTTTGCTCTCAGGTTCTTCATCTCTCCCCGTCACTGATCTTAAGGAAAAGCTAGAGCAAGTATTTGAGGAAATTCGGATGCTGAGAATGAAAGGTGAATAGAAAAATTCATATCTCGTCATTTTTAGAGAGAAACTGGTACAAGAATACTAATAACTGTTCATAAAGTTTGCTTAGGTTTAAAAAATAAGCTAAAATATTGAATAGGTAAAAACCAAACATTTTCAAAACCAGGTCATCATCAGGGTGATGATGACCTAGTGTGGAAAATGTTTGCTTTTAAATTTTTTAAAATATTTTAGCCATGTAAATAGCTCAGTGCTATGAAATGAATTCATATTTTTCCAGTAAACACTTTAAGAAAAATTATTCCCTATCTGAGATATTAATGTTTTTCTGCCTTTACTTTCATCCAAGAATACTGTGAAATGCTCTCAGCTGTTATTCAGTAACTTAGTTTTGTTAAGGAAAATATTTTCAATTCAGTTTTGTCTCTTAATCCACAACTTCAGTTAAAGGTAGTATTAAATTGGCTGTGACATGTAATAATGAAGTATTACTTATAGATAGGTTATTTCACAATGATATAATGGAAAACTTGCATCATTGTTCTTTCACTTGACCTCGATACATGTTATCATGCTTTAACTTTTTATATCAGGTGAGGCACTTAGTGCTAAATATATTTCTGTGTACCTTTGCTCTCAGGTGGTTTTTCTGTCCTTAAATTTTCAACCATTGATCTTAAGAAAAAACTAGCTGAACTACGCATGGAGCTTCAGAGGCTCAGAATGGAAGGTGAATATAAAATGTTTTTTGATTCATTATCAGAGAGAAATAAATGCAAGAATGCCTTTAAAGGCTTTCACCCCCGTATCGAGTTATCACTTTTCAAGGGAAATTGATCCTTATTTAAAAGAATCTGTTATCTGATTTTATTAGTATTTATGAATGTTTCCACTCCTTCTTCAAAATACAAATTTTCAAGGGAAACTATTCCTTAGTAAAGATGATCCCTCTTCCTTTATAATTATTAAGTGAGATAGTTATCTAATACTTTCAGTTCTTCACATGAGCCTAGTACAATGTGAAGTGTTTGTTAAATGCCTGTTTTTAACCATTTATGCGAGGTAAGGCACTGAATGCTAAATACAGTGTATCTCTCTGTTTACCTTTCCTTTCAGGTACTTTGCCTCCCCCTGAACTCTTTACTGCTGATCTTGAAGATGAACTAGAACGACTTGAACAACTTCTTATCGAACAAAGAGAAAAAATGAAAGGTGAGTGAAACATGTGTATTAACTCTGTTGAACAGGGTAAAAGAAATATGGAAAGTAATGTAAGGAAATAGTTACACTAGTATTTCAGGCTTGATTTTTTAAGTAACAAGCTGAAAGGTGACACACTTTCTTTTTGTTTGTTATAAAGGACTCCTATTATTTTCTCTCCAATACCTAAGCCCTGCATGCAACTTGCAAAACATCTGCGCTGCTCATTACGTGTTGAAGCATTGGATAGTGTATTTTCTCTATATTTAAGATAACCCCTCTTCTTATACAATGTTATCAACCAAGAATGGTGTTTAAAAATTCTTTAAACCATTTTGCTGTTTACTTCTTCTCTCAGGTAGTTCACATTTCCTTGTTGAAACAGTAATTAGACTACGCAAGGAACTTGAGAAAGTCAAGATGGAAGGTGAATAAATAATACACATTTAGAGAAAAAACAATTTTAGTAGAATGCTATTAAACGCTTCCACTTCTTTATCGAAGTATCTTTTTCCACTGAACTCCTGCACGTGCAGTCTTTTTCTGCAGTAATTATTAACAACTGCAATGCTCATTGGAGGCCTAAGATATAAGTTACGTTACTACGTTGGCACCCAGCACTTAGATGGAGACTGTTTTCACGAGTGGTAAATCCTGGCAACCCAGCCATCAGCCGTCATGTAGTAAGGAGAAAACCTCCCATTGCACTAGAAAATAAGAATTGTAGAAGAAAAGAAACAAAATACCAGGGAAAAGTGAATTTCTTCGTAGTGCATGTTAAAAAAAATATCTGGCTTCTTAGGATAGGCTCATTCTGGTCCTGGAAACTTTCAAATTTTGGTACATATGCAAAATTACAGGAACTGTTTCATGTTATGCGTAGTTTCGTGGTGCGTGCTTGCAGTGCACGGGATTTGCACGCGCATCAAGTGCGCGGTACTGTCGTGAATCTTGGATACAAGTCTAGCATTTTATCAGAGTGCTTAGGCATTTTTAATCGTATCCATTTACAACCTTGATGTGTTAAGGCGCGGCAAGCGTCAAATTGTGCTCTAATTTAGAACAAGATGTACACATGCAGTTTTTAAATTGAGTTTGTATGTCGAACGTTGAGGAGCGTTTGTGTAAGCCATCTCAGAGTTACGATGACCACATCGCGCTACCAGAGGTTATAAACATTCCCATATTGCTGCTTCAATAGTGCATGTAGCACTAATGCATGTGAGTGAACTGTAGTACATGCAGGAGGGTTTCAATGGCGCTAACTGTTAACCGTAATATAGCAAAAACATTTTGCTGTTAGTCGTAAAAATTGACGAATTTCAACCGTTAGTCTTAACATAACATAACTGTTTATTCACAATTCAAATTTTAATGAAAGGTAAAAAGGAAACAAAAAAGGTTACCCCTTTCAAGTTTGTCTCCTAAAATAATTAAAAATCACAGTAAAATAGTTCAAAATTTCCTAAAACATTAGTAAAATGAGTCTGTTCTTGAAAATGTTCAGAGTTTTTGCCTTTGCAACTTTTTTAGGTAAATTATTCTATTCATTGACTATACTTGCACAGAAAGAATACTTAAAACTGTTTAGCTTTGCGGGCAATGGTTTAAGTTTATGGTAATGGTTTGTTCTTAATGGTCGAAAATCATGTGCGAATGTAAAATACTCAAATGGGTGTAGCCCGTTAAGACTGTTAACCGTCTTATAGCACTCGGTAAGCGAAGAAAATAATCTTCTCTGATGTAGAGTTGGCCATTTAAGGACCTTTAAGCGCTCTTCATAAGACATATCTTGGCCAATGTTTCTGATTGCATATCTAGGTGTTCTGCGTTGTACTTTCTCTAAAATAGCCAAATCCTTTTTGAGGTGTGGAGACCACACTGGAGAGCAGTACTAGAGTATTGGACGTACTAAACTCATGTACAATTTCGAGAACAATTCTGGGTTCCTGGGGCCCTTTGTTCGACCTATAAATCGGAGTACACTGTTTGCCTTGTTTTCAGGCTCCGTGATAGATTTGATGTGATGTGAATTCTAAGATCCTTAACGTTAGATTACAAAGGATTAACCAAGGAAATTTTTCTTTTAAACTCCTTAACAAGAAAAAGTTAGCCCTAATATGGCCAAAATTTTAGCCGTTAGCCGTAAAAGCCATCACCCCATTGAGGCCCTCATGAAGCTCGTGCGTTAAGAAACTTTTGTATTAATGTTCCATGTCAGAAATGATTGACAAGACATGTTGGCGGTATCTTTGAATGGCAAATGTAAATTTGAACCCAAGCTTGTCCGTGATCTTTCACAGTTGATGACATTGACTCTTACGTTGTCTTTTAAGTAGTTCCTCATTTTAATAAATTCTCTGAACAGAGAATGTGACCTTAAGTACTAAAATAGTTTTATGTCTTTTTGTGTCCTTCATGATAGCATTGGAGAACGCCATGTATCTGACCATCAGATCAGGACTGGCGAAGTTTGATGTCAGTTTACCCGAGGAACTCCAGAACTATGTCAGTTACTTATTAGATGAGTCAGCTAAACTTCACTTACGTAAGCAAGGTACTTAACATTGTTAAAATAAGATTGTATTGACTTTGAAACATATGTCCAGTTATCCATATTCGGTCGTAAGAATATTGAGAAATACTGGGTTTTTGTAATAGTCAAGGGATTTTTTTTAAACCCAGATTTGTGATCTTGTGTTAGGTTTTTTTCATTCTTAGTAGACTTGGTGTCTTTATATAGTCATCAAATGACCTGCGCGGTCTAATGCCCGTTCTTAAAAAGAAAAAAAAAAGATTTACAAATAAACCCCTCTATGAAGGCCGTGGGCGGTTGCGCTGGCAGGGGCATTTAAAGTTGCAGGGCCAAGCGTGCATCCATGCGAGAAGAAAGTAGAATGAGAAGAGTGGCGTTCATGGAATAAAAATCTGATTGACTGAGTAAGATTAGGCCGGACCGACATGACCCTTCTACTCAGTCCATAAGTGCATAGAATTCTGATGTTAAAGCTGGTCGCTTATGTGGTGTAACTTTAGTACTTTATGATCGTATTACCAAGAAAAAGACGTCTCTTTCAATTCATCAACACGAATAGTTCGTTGTTGTGTTTGTAAACTGAAAACAATTTTTTCTCTTGTGTTCTTGGAAATGTTCTGAAACTTTAAAACCAGATTTGGAAAAAAAAAAACAGCAACTTCTCTCGCAGACTGTAGAGTTTTAGATTACTAGTTGGGGAAAAGATTATATTAGAATAAAACTTTATGACAATGATTTACAACTTCGCAAAGGATTGCTGACATTTTAAGACTTCTTGGAAAAGAAAAAGACATTTATTGTTCATACTGCCCGTCTCCTTGTCTTACCAACTGGTTTCCTTTGACTTGGGATGATTCAACAATAAGTCGAAGCACGGAGACTCAAAATTATTTTTGTGTCCAATTTGCTGAGGTATTTTCTGTGCTTTGTCAGTTTTTAGACTAAAGCAATGGTGTTTTTCGCTAATGTTTTCAAGTAAAAATTAATATTTCTTTTGTTTTAATCCTTTAGTACTCCAACCACCTCGTGCCTTAGAGGAATTACGAGAAGCAATGGATAAAGGCGAATTGAAAACATTCCTTACTATTCACATCAGAGAAGGTGCATGGCAAGTGGTGCTGCTGTTTATGGATGAGCTCCCTAAATATAAACTACCATGGGACTGGTGTGGTATAATTCTTATCAAGGACGAGGACGAGGAGGTATCTAATGAAGTGATATACAGTTCGACGTCAGGCATATTGAATGGGTGGCCAACACATTACGACCCTAGTTTGGTAACACTGTGTAAAGCGATCACCAACAAGGACTGGAAAGTAACCAGATTAATTCTCTCTCTGAGTCGGATACCTGATGAAGGTTTGAAGAACTTGAGTACAGCGCTTACTCAGAGTGAACTTTACAGCTTGACACTGTATGACATTGGTTTACAAAGTCAAGGATTGGAACACCTGTGTAACGCGCTAACCAGCGTTAATTGCAGATTAACAAACTTAAATGTCAGTAACAATCAGTTGGGAGACAACGGATTGAAACACTTGTGTGATGCATTGACCAGCAGTAACTGTGCTTTAACCAAGTTAATAGTCGGTTTTAATAGATTAGGAGATGGAGGAATAAAAGAATTGTCCGAAGTTTTAACCAAAGGATTCTGTACATTAACAAGTTTAGACATACGCGGCAATGAATTTGGAGATGAAGGAATCAAGCACTTGTGTAAGGCCTTGACTGATACCAAATGCAAACTACGGAGCTTAAACCTCCGGGCAAATTGGTGTGTAACAGATGATGGAAAAAAATATTTGTCTCAAATGTTAACTGGTACTGACTGGGAAGATGAAGGAGCTCTACGACTTTCCCGTTCGACTACAAAGGAGACCAAGGAACAAGTCAGTGACACAGAGCCGTGACAGGTTCCTCCTGTTATGTTTCGCTTGTCATGAAATAAATTCCATTTTTATAAATGACAACTTAAAGATTATTGTTCAAGGTGATTAATTCGATGACTGACCTTCTAGTCACTATCACTTGTTGAACAGAGTATTAAAATTGACCAGCAGTGAGGCAGTCGAAACATCGCGATCAAGAATCAAGGAATGACTCGGTATCATGACACAAATGATTATTAAACGTTCATTGTTGGATAGACGAATTTCACTGTTTTAAAAATTAGACTATAAATGCAACTGTAATTTCGTAGAACAGATCTGTTGGTAACAATGTCAAAATTTTGTAAAAAATGTTTTGAGCTACAGGCAATTGGTTATACGGGTGATACAGCTGTAATAAGATGCCAAGAATATTTAATGATATTTTGATAACCTATCTAAAGAATATCTTTGTCTACTAAAAGAAAACTTTGAAAAGACTACAGGAATAAGTGACGTATAAATGAAATAACAACATATTTCCTCAAGTTTTTTTAAGGCTTTCATATTTTTTGTCAGTAGACTCCAAGAGTATAATGTTTAAGCTTCATTTAAATATTTGGAATGTTTTTTCCTGCCTTGTTCATTTTCGAAGCCAAATGCAGGCGTTGTAAAACCAATTGTATTCTCGTTCAAATGAGTTTATTTGGACTTTACCTCGTAATTCATTTACGCAAAGCTTGTACTCTAACTCGTAATTTTTTCATCCTAGTAGATGATTTTATGAAGAGCGGAGTTTTGTAATACTCTTAAATTACATACGAATGGTAGAAAATTGTTTCAGTACGGGTTACGTAGTCAATGTATACTCCCTTTTTCAATTTGCCGGAATAGTTTAGAATGTAATGTAGATGTAATCTAATCGATAATATTTAAGTTATTGTTCCAAAATTCTCAACTCTCAGTAGAAATCATATTTTACATATATATTTGATATTTTTTAAAGGACCACACTAAACTGCGAAGTATATTAACCAACGACATTGAATATGTGAAAGGACTGCAGTTAAATTTAATAAATGTGGTTTTGTTTTTTTACGATCCTATCTTTTACTGAATCCGTCAATAGAGCCTTAATGAAAGAAACACGGGCTAAAACACACGTATCCGTTTTATTTGGACACGAAGGTTCTTTTCCCGTTTGTATTTGGTCCAGGATGAATAGAAGTAACTCCTTCCATGGTCAAAAGCAAAACTCTAAATGGCTTGCGCAAGAGCCTAGTTTAGGGGGTTCTTTGTGTGGAAGTGTCGAGTAATTTCGATAGGCAGGAACACTTTTCCATAAAACCAACTGTTTGGATTTAGCCTTGGACTTCCTTTCAATCTCCTCGCAAATTTCCTTACAAAGAAGCTAGGGAAACAGGTCTGTAGCTCTCCACTTTGATTTTGGCACCTTTCATATCAGTACAGCGGAATAGCACGAAACTGTTTAAAACAAACAAACAAAAAAACAAACAGCTACATTCCCGTACTTCGAACTTAAACCAAATTTTAATAAATTATTAAACAAAGTGCATAGGAGCGATGTTAGTGAGTTACTGCAACATTTCAAGATTCTTGGACGAATTTCGTCGGGGCTGCGGCTTTTATAGGCATGTTATTTGAACAGGAGATTTTTAACTTCAATGCATTTGATACCAGTGCGAAATTCTTTGTCCTTTCAACGTTCAGGAAGTTAGGAAGATTAGTCAATTTTTCCGATGTGAACTAGCGATTTAAACTATCCGGATCGTGGTTTTTTTTTTTTTTTTTTTTTTTTTTTTAACAGTCAGAATATCTGTACCAACTTAGAGTATCTCAAGGTCGTTTGTTTAATTTTTGCTATCGCCTTCCTTTACAATCTTGACACTTAGTTGATTAAGGTAATCTCAAAGCGCTTGGTTGCATGACATAATTTTTGTTCAAATTTTGGGAACGCATCTGATGCATTTAAAGTCCTTCCTGTTATAACTTATATATCTGGCTCAGTATTTTTTTTGTTTTTTTTTTTGCTTTTAATTTTTGTTATTGGAAGTTAGATTTAAAGCGTGTCTTAAATGATAGTATAAGCCAGAACAGGAAAATCAAACGCTATCGTCAAAGTATATTAAAATTTAAGTTTTTACCTTTGTTTGAGACTCTTTGGAGCAACCTTGTGTAAATTCTTTTACTCGATTCATCTCCATCGCCACGGATTTTGCCGACGTGAATGAAAGGCCTCGTGCTAGAAACTTCCAGTCAAATCTGCCGAGTAAACAGTGACACTAACTCTTTGGGAAATTTCTGTAAAAGGCTCTTATAAACTGAAAAGGAAATCAATTTTTTATTGTGACGTTACTCGTTCTCCACTTCTTCCTTTCCACTAAACCTTATGTACAAAAGAAAAAAATGCACAGATCTAGAGATTGCTTCTGTTCTTTGACAGAGCCTACAATTCACAGCAAATAGACGCTGGGTATTCTCAGCCAGAAAAGGGAAAGGAAAATCAAACGCACGTACCAAGCCAAAAGGAACCTCGTCGCGCTAGACTAATCGTTAAAGCTCATTCAGCCCTCCCTCTGAATTTCTAAACCCCTCCCCCTCGAAAAAAATCAAAGTGCTCTGTGAGCAAACTCGTGAATTGACAGATGCCTTACATGATTTTTTGAATCATGTTTAATGTTATCTGGTTTAGGGAATTTTGTGGTTGATTGTCATATTTAGAGTACGAGCAGTAGTTCAGTGTTCGCTAATGTAGCAAAGAAACAAAGTAACGTTGGGGTAAGAAGGCATTACGATTGAAATGATCATGCTATTACATTTGACAATGGTGGATGATGTGTTTTACATATATCATTTTTGTTTCTGGTTCAAAAGAAAAGGTTGGAAGTAAATGTGGGTGAAAAGTGAAATTTACTGTCTATCATTGTAAATATTGGAAAATCAAGGCAATACTTGCTTAATGAAAATATCAGTGATTCCCTCTTTATCAAATGAGACAAACGGGAACGAGTTTTGAGTGATATAACTAAGCCCAGACTGTCACCGTCATTTTGGATTTCCGCCTGGGTAGATTTTGGTCACGTGCTAGGCAACGTATAATCAAGAACAAGATAGAATTTAATTCCAGGCCTATTCATCAATTTTGTGGTATATAACTTTCGCATTTTAGTACGTAATATTTATTTTGAATCTTCAAATTGTCTTGAAACCATCACCCATACTTGGATATTGACGATACTGAGAATCCCAAGTTACCGCCATAGAGCAATTCAAGATAATTTTCGTCTTCATAGATAATACAGTAAAGCCTTCCCCTTTCGCACCCACTTCATGTTTTTCTGGCGCAATTTTAATGAATGAATAAGACAAGTCACAATCATGTCTCTTCAATTTCCAGTTTCGATTGATGTTTAATTGTAGAGAAGAGTGTCAGTGTACGGCGATAGATTAAGCATCGACCAGCGGGTATATATTTTATCCATCGAGCATGCGCAGGTAAATGGCTGCTCGCTCGCATCTTAAGTTTTCTTCATGCCTTCTTCTTTTTGTCAATCATGTATGGGCAAGATAACTTTTTGAACCAGCATATGAATGCAATTTCACGAAAATATTTCCAGAGCAAAAGTATGACTACAGCTCTTTTTTTGGCTATGATTTTATTCTTCGCTAGCCGTTTGTTTGATTTTTTTGTTTGTTTATTTTTCCAGCTGAAATCCATTCTGTTTGCATTGACAACATTATGAAGCGTAGAATTCCATTTATTTTTTCTGTTTTCGGTTTATCTATCTATTCTCGTGCGTTCATTTAATTTCAATTACATTTGTTTTTATTGACTTTCGCCGATCTTCTTTTCATTCTTATCATCTGACCAGATCGTGGTTTAGATGCTTAATTCAAGTAAAACAAAATGAGTACAAGGAGATTGTTGTTGGAGACTGTTAACACATTCATACTAGTTGTCTATGTTGATAAACAACATTAAGTCGAAGCGCTGAGGACCGGTTATTTGAACTAAGTGTAGCTGTTGTTTAACAAAACCGTGTCCTAAGCCATCTTCAATTTGGCCGAAAGTTTTATTGAACATTTATTTTTGTGAACAGTGTCAAGAGGGCCGAAAGCTAATAGTGAAAGGGCATTTATGTAGTAAAATCAACTCTCTTAGAGAACGCCTGAGGCCCCTCGCTTCCGTAAAACCGCGATATGCGTTAGACCTCGTATAATTAACCGGCCCCGAAACTCGTAATTCTCAGGTAATATCTTAACACCACTCTTTATTGTCCTATTTGCAGAGGTATTTTTTGTGGTTCGTCAGTCTTGAGACAAAAATAAAAACAAAAAATCTGAAACGATGTTTTTTTGCAATTTTTTTTTCAAGTAAAGTGCTAATATTTCTTTTGTTTTAATCATTCAGTACTCTAATCGAAATTTCGAGAAGCAATGGATAAATACGAATTGAAAACATTATTCATCAGAGGAGGTGCATGGCAAGTCAAGTGGTACTGCTGTTTGTGGATGAGCTATCAACCCGTAAACTGCCATGGGACTGGTTTCATGAAGTGTGTCACCAACAGGGACTGGAAAGTAACCAGATTAATCATCTCTAGCAGTCGGATATCTGATGAAGGTTTGAAGAACTTGAGTACAGCGCTTACTCAGAGTGAACTTTACAGCTTGACACTGTATGGCATTGGTTTACAAAGTCAAGGATCAGAACACCTGTGTGAAGCGCCGATCAGTGGTGAATGCAATCTAACCAGCTTAAATGTCAGTGACCAAAGGTTAGGAGATGAAGGAATAATACACTTGTGTAACGCGCTCAGCAGTGTTAACTGCAAATTAACCAATTCGACCGTCACAGGGACTTTCTTTGAAAAAACAAGATTAAAACACTTGTGTGATGCACTGATCAGCACTAATATCAGGTCAGTAGCCAACTTAAACATCTTTTGCAATAGGTTAGGGGAAGAAGGAATAGTGCTCTTGTTTACCATTCTGACCGGCAGTAATTGCAAATTAACCAGTTTAAATGTCAGTCATAATAGATTAGGAGATAGAGTATTAAAGGACCTACCTGAAGCTTTAACCAACAAGAACTGTACATTAACGAGCTTAGACATCAGTGACAATGAATTAGGAGATAAAGGAATAAAGTACTTGTGTAAAGCCTTAACTGATGCTAACTGAATACTAGGGAGCTTAAATCTGTGAGGACATCGGAATATAACAGACGTGAGCAAACAATGTTTGTTTGAAGCGATAATTGGTACTGACTGGAAAGTCAGATAAGGCTTGATACTTTGCTCTTAAGTCGGAGGCATAAAGTTCGGGTAGATTGAGAACTGTTGAGCAAGGCTGAGACTCAAAGCTCCATCAAACACAAGAGACTTACATGTCTACCAACGACTCTGTCCCGGTTGCTACTGATACTGATAAAATTAAGCAAATTGTAGATCCCCAGGTGATCTGCTGTAAATCTGTCGGATTAAAAATTGATGACTTGAAATTAGGACTTCTGTGAAACTCACGGGTTCTAACTAGTCTAACTGGTCTAGTCCCAAGGTCTGCCATTAAACTGACATATTGATCAATGGAGAAAACCGAGACACCAAGTCTCTAAATACTTGAGCATACCACTGTCGTAAACTCATCAAATCCCGAGGTTGAGAGACTAATTGATTTAGGCTAGATATCTTTACAATCGTGTTGAAGTCCTTGTCTTCAACATCATCTTTTCGTATTTCACCATGTTCGTTTTCCATGAAACTTGTGCGTTCTTGGTTTCAGCGCTAAAATCAGTTCGTTTTACAGGAGATGGATCCAGAATTTTTTTCAAGGAGAGGTGCACCACTAGTGATGTCGTGGTGGAGGTGAAGAAATAATTTTAAAAGTGAAAAACGAAGAAGAAGAAGGCTTATGACTGGGCACTAACACGTAAATGGGCGTCGTTAAGAAACCCTTGTGTCCCAGACTACTTCGTGAGAGAGGGCCGGACGCAAAAATATTTGACTCGAGGTCATGACGTACGGACTGAGCGCTTTGCTATGAAACTCGTGGGTTTTTGCTTTCTTAAAAGATAAGTATGTTTAGCGGCCTACCACAATTTGGTGATTGTTTTCTTCTCTAACGGTTCACATGTATGATTTTCATATATTTTTACATGAATCCCCACATGAACAGAAAATGACATGAGCGGCCGTATACATGACATTATCTCGTGCCGCTGAACAGCTAACCCTGATCTGTAGGCGCAACTTCCGTGATAAGAAATCGACCTGAAATACTACTAAAACTAACGTTGAGCGAGGTGTTTTACCAGGTTATTTTTCTAGCTATAAGTAATAGTTTCAGCTCCAATGAAGTGATTCCAAATCATCAGTGAACTGCAGCTTCAGACTGATACTGAAGGGAATAGATACAGGACTTTCCCTCCCAGTAAAAAAGCCAATGAAGTCTTGGTAAGATAGCTCATGTTAGCTTTTAATACATGATGCCTAGAATTCTTACTAAAATGAAAAATTTTGGTAAATACCTGAGAGCGACTCATCACCTCTATTTTCAAACGTCTTTTCTGAGACGAACGGTAGACTGAATCATAAAGACAGATTGTGTAACAATATCTTGATCTTCAAGGCTGAATGAAAGTAATTCATCTTTTTTATTTCATTTAAGCAACTTCCTATTCAACATTTAAGGTTTCTGTGATGTCGGGACAATTAAAGGTAGGATATCAAACAACTGCTTTTGAAAATCACAGCTACTACCAAGTTGCTTTGTTCGATCTGGTGTCACTTCAGGAGCAAATTACATGCCTGCAGATACAAAACCTTATAATAATATATTACTGGTATTTACCGAGCAGGAGATTGATATGGAAAAAAATCTATGGGAGAGTTAAATAAGTTCACATCAGTTCAAGATTATAAGAGTCCACATAGATGATTGTAGAACGTTTTTACTTTGGGATGATCAAAGCTAATGAAAAATATGTTCTTGGTCTCATGTTTCACATCTTTTTAGATAAAAAATGATCATACAAGTTGGTTAGAATTGGATGATTTAAAGTTTGCCATGTCATGCAAAACCAGACTCTGAATATCTGAAGAGGAAAAATTTGTGTATAACATTTTTTTGCATGATATCAAAATGTTACAGGTGCAGGTCACTTCTTAGAGTATGAGATTACAGTTGTATTACACTAACCCTGATATCCACAACAACTGTTCTTTACTGTTTCATGGAAATTTTGTACAACTTTTGCTTATAAGTTTATTGACTTTGTGAAGTTACTAAGTGAATTCAAAATTAAGAAGTATCTTTCAAAAGTAAATTAATTCATAAAATGTGTTTTCTCTCTTATTTCAATAACTCTAATTGAATTTCCTAAATCACAAAAATCTTGTGTTTACAGAACGACACTGGGGAAAGGAAACTGAGGGTAACCCTTTTGAGTGCTGAATGGAAAGCTTCAAGCAATGGAGACTGGACAACCATCAACAGAGAACTAGCAATACAGATGGCTAAACATCCCAATGTGGAAGTTAGTGTCTTCTTACCTCAGTGTAGTGAAGAGGAAAAGAAAGATGCTGATAGTTACAATGTTAAACTCATTGAAGCTGTTAAACTGTCTGGTTTTGAACCAGTTCTTTGGCTAGCCTCAGTACCTGATGGCCATGCTATAGATTGTATTCTAGGGCATGGAGTAGCTCTTGGTCGGCTAATTCCACTCATAAAGAAAAATCCAAATTACAATCATTGCAAATGGATTCAAGTTGTCCATACTGCCCCTGAAGAAATTGGCATGTACAAAAGCATTTCTGAAGGTCAACAAATGCAGAAAACAGAAATAGAACTATGTGAAATGGCTGATCAAGTTGTAACAATTGGCCCCAAACTAACTGATGCATATAAGCACCAACTCGGACAACAGGATGTTTTTAATCTGACGCCAAGCATATTCCCTGAATTTTCAGATGTGCAGCAAGCAAGCGATGAAAGAAGAACGTTTTGTGTCTTGGTAATTGAGAGTGGTAATAGTGAAGATTTTGATGTTAAAGGATATGACATTGTAGCAAAAGCTATTGCTAACCTTAAGGATAAATCTTACCAACTCAAGTTTGCTTCCAAACAGAGAGGAAAGGAAGATGAATTAGCAGAAAAGTTACTTCAGTGTGGTATTGATCGTAATCAACTAATTATCTGCAGCTTTGATGAAAACAGGAAAACATTAGCCAACTTATTCTCTGCAGTGGATATTGCCATTTTGCCCTCAAAAACTGAAGGGTTCGGGTTAAGCGCTCTTGAAGCCATATCTGCTGGTCTTCCAGTACTTGTCAGTGGTAACTCAGGTATTGCAGAAGCATTAAGGGAGGTGCCTAATGGGTCACAGTGTATAGTGGATTCAGAGGATCCTGTAGACTGGGCCAGAGCAATAAAGGCTGTGTGTGACAAAAAAAGGAATGTACGACTTGCAGAGGCAGAGATTCTTCGTGAAAACTATATGCAGCAGTTCAGCTGGGAGAAGCCTTGTGATTTCCTAGTTAAAAAGATGTACAATCTTGCATTTGGTAAGTTTTCTTATCTTGCATCAGGGATGCAGAAGCTTTAATCAAATTTGAAATGATGACAAAGCTCACATGTTCTGCATTAAATTTTCATTGTACAGGTTAGCAGTTGTTTCTAAATGCTATAGGGACAGTAGTGACAGTAGTCTTATGGAATGTGAAAAATTTACATTTAAGGAAACTGATAATGCAAGGCTACAAGTTGGTGGTAATAGCCATTGTTGTGAACAGTAATAACAATTGGTGTACTGGGTACTACATTGCATTCAATCGGAAGACTGCTGTGCAATTTTAGGTTTTGGGCAAAGGAACACTCGTGTAGAAGCCCTCTATTAATGAGGACCTGCAAGCAGAGTATCATCCAATATGTTTGAAGTTTAATGTTATATTAATGGTTCAAGTGGATTTAAAGTATAATTTTTAACTCTATCACATGTCATTTCCTTGTAAACAGCCTTCAGTGTATCACATATTCCAACCGCATGGTCCAACCTCACTGAAAAAAATTTACATGGAACTAAATGCAACTGATGGTGAACTTTCCATGCAATTCTCCTGTGTTTTAAATTTTTCTTTGAATGAAATTTGGTTTTAGCTACCTTGAGCTTAACTCCATTGTATGTCAATTCATTGTAAACAACCTGCATTTTATTATTTATTCACACACGGAGGGCAAAATCCAGATAGGCAACAAGCAATCAAGGAGCCCTCTTTGAAATATTATCCTTTTCTCTTGGTCATTATTTTTCCAGTTATTTGAGATTGCAATATATCTTTGGTTAGATTTTATTGGAGATAGAACAGAGTTTCAATTTTCTTTTTTTAGTAAAATTAGGTGGAATTCTATTTTTAGAACAACTAGCTATTGTAGATGAATAACTTTGATTTTCTCTCTGTTAGAAGAATGACGGTAACCATGGTCTCTTTTGCAACTTTTATTTGGTCTTGTCATGCAACATGCTTTTTCTCTAATGGAGAATAGAGGGTGTTGTGTGATGAGACCAAACATCAGCTGCAAAGGAGACAACAGTAAGCATGGCACCATTGCCTTTTATTTTTGCTTAGAAATATTTAGACAATAGAGAAAATAGACCATAAAATACCTGACTGTGTGTGAGTACAGTGAAATTAGGGTTTTGTTTTCTTTCTCTCAAGGTGGGAAGTAATGCAGTATTTTTGTTCATTTGAAAGTTATGCTCTTCTTGTGTTACAAAAATGAAAACATTAGTAGGCAAAGTGTCCCATCTCAACCCACCCAGCAAGAAAAATAACTCTTGCATGCTGGGCATGCCTGTGTTTCTTCTTAGCTAAGTCTGTTTAGATATTTCCATGTTTGAAACTGTAGTCTTTTAGATCATTGATAATTTTGATTCTACCATGGAATGAGATAAAGATGTAAAAGAAACCAAAACTGAAGCAATATATATACTGTATGTGGTAATCATTTTCATTTCATCAATAATTATGTTGTTGGTATCTATTCATTGGTAATAAGCTCTATGTTTGATTGGTGTTGCCTCATTGTAATGTTCTCACATTTCAGTGGTTAATAGGGTAGGAGGCGAAAAAACCTTGTTATATTAAGATTAAATTTGTCTGTTACAATTTAACAGGTGGTGAAATGAATATTAAGGTTGATGTGGATGACTTGAAACCTGAAGAACAGAATATGCAGACTGGCATGTTGGCAACAGAGTCTGTCAGACAGCAAGAGGTTCAGCAGCCTGGGGCATCTGCAACATCAGCTGCATCTGGAAGTGTGTCTTATCCACAGACAGAAGATCTTCAGGCCCTTAAAGAGGAACTCTTTATATCAATTGTTAGAAATTATCTCCAGACCACACCACCACGTTCCAGTGAAGAGCACAATAGGTTTAAGGAGTATGTAAAAGAAATGAGGCTCATCATTACTGGTGTTGCTGTAGGAAGTTTGGTGATAACAGTGAAGTGTGAATCTCTAATAATCTTGGAGGAGTTGTGGACAGATTACTCATCTGGTCATCTTGGTGAAGTAGTTCAGAATTGTTTTGTCACTGAAAAGATCTTGAAGGAACTGAACGTGGCTGAGCTGAGGCTGAAGACAACAATGGACATAGAAGAGTACAATGCATGCAAAATGTTCTTTGTGAAAGATGCACTTAGAGGTTGGTAGAAAGAATGTAACAAGGCCTGGTCCTATCATAAAATATTTAACCTGTTAACCTGTTATCTTTCCTACTAAGACATGTGGCTTGATATTTTCCTCTTTATGGGGTTGTATTTGTCTTTCCTTAATTTATTAGATTACATACATTAATCAAAGGCTAACAGCCAAAACTTTTGTTGGAGGGGCTAAGAAAGAAAATTTTATTAGTTTTTGCATCTTGAGTGTTTTTAAAAATAGTGTGAGGTATATTTATGGTTAAAAATGTTTGTCTTTTTGTAAATCTGATTTTAGATGCTCTATCCTCTGACTTCCACTCCACAAGTTCAACCAGTGAAAGTCCACAAAAAAATGAGCAATGGGAAAAAAGTGAACGGAAGAAAAAGATTATGGAGACAGCGAGATTGGAAGGTGAAAAGGAGGTTTAAAAACTTGTATAAATTAAGTTATTATGGAAATTTGTTGTGAACAGTAATAACAATTATGTAGTAAATGTTGGAAGAATAATTTCAGCAATAATGTGGCATTAATAAATTAATATAATTGTACACAGTTCCACATATGGGAAAAAAACGCTTGAAGAGAGTTTGTGAATGCTAATCTCTCTGTGAATTTTTACCCTTAGGTACTTCAGCCCTCACTGTAATACCCACCACTGGTCATGGAAAAGAACTAGAAGAACTGTGGGGAAGGAAAGGTGAACAGGATGCTCAGTTTGAACTTATTTTTCAAGTTAATGTAATTAAAACATGTTGCTCATTGTGTTCAGCTATTAATCCAGGTGGAAAGTTGTATTCTATTGAAAGTTATTGACTATTTAAGGTTCTTCATGTTGGTTGAGGTTTTCTTTTTGTTATTGAGGGAAAACTTACTTTTAAGTTGATTTAGTTGATTTACTCTTTCAACTGGCATCAAACCACCTTGAAACGAATAAGAAGATGTTAGTGTTACTGCTTTCAGTTGTTTTGGCAGATTCATTGAAGTCTAGCATGGGTTCCAGTTTGGGTTCAGTCCCCTCTGACATGGGCCAAAAAAAAAAAAGAAAGGAAAACAACATAGCAAATCACTGACTTGTTGTTTTGATGCAAATGATATTGAAGAAGTAGAACAATCCATAGATGCTTAAATTGGCCAAAAAAGTTGTAGGAGTGAAGCTAAGAAACTACAGGAAAAAAAAGGAGAAATGAATAAAAGAATCTGAATGTGGTTTTAGTCATCTTTTAAAATAGAAATTAATAAAACATTATACACATGCAGACTGAATACTTTTTCAGTTGTTCTCAACAGTTTTCTTTTTTCGGGTTTAAAGCATCTTTGTTCAAATAAAGGCAATCTACTTTTACTTTTGAAAAAGTAAAAATCAAACATTTTTGACACAAGGTAGTCATCACTGTCAGTGATGAGTAAATATTTTAGCCATGTAAATAACTCAATGGCATTAAATTTTTTGATATTTTTTCCAGTAATTAATACTTTTAAAAGAAATTATTCCCTATATGAGATATTAACCTTTGTCTGTCTTTTATCCATAAATAATGTTAAATGCTCTCAGCTGTTATTCAGTAACTTAGTTTTGGTTAGTAACATATTTTCAATTCAGGTGTGCCTCTACATCCATAAATTCGGGTAGGTAGTATTAAATTGGCTGTGGCATGTTAGAATGAAAACATGCTTAAAGATAGTTAATTTCATTGTTCTTTCACTTGACCTTGATACATGTTATTATGCTTTAACTTTTTATATCAGATGAGGCACTAAGCACTAAATATATTTCTGTGTATCTCTGTGCTCAGGTGGGTTTCCTGTCATTCAATTTTCAACCTTTGATATTGAGAAAAAACTAACTGAACTAAGCATGGAGCTTCAGAGGCTCAGAATAAAAGGTGAATATAAAATGTTTATTGATTCATTATTAGAGAGAAATAAATCTAAGAATGCTATTAAAGGCTTTCACCCCAGTCTCGAATTATCACTTTTCAAGGGCAATTATTCCTTATTTAAAAGAATCTGTTGTCTGATTTTATTACTACTGATGAATGCTTCCATTCCTTATTCAAATTATACATTTCAAGGGAAACTATTCCTTAGTAAAGATGATCCCTCTTCCTTTATAATTATTAAGTGAGATAATTATCTAATACTTTCAGTTCTTCACATGAGCCTAGTACAATGTGAAGTGTTTGTTAAATGCCTGTTTTTAACCATTTATGCGAGGTAAGGCACTGAATGCTAAATACAATGTATCTCTCTGTTTACCTTTCCCTTCAGGTACTTTGCCTCCCCCTGAACTCTTTTCTACTGATCTTGAAGATGAACTAGAACAACTTCAACAATTTATTTGGATACTTACACTCAGAAAAAGCATGAAAGGTGAGTGAAACATGTGTATTGGCTCCGTTGAACAAGGGAAAAGAAATATGGAAATGATGCAAGGAAATGTTTCCACTGGTATTCTAAGCTTGATTTTTTAAGTAACCAGCAGAAAGGTGAAACACTTTCTTTGAATTTGCTATAAAGGACTCCTATTATTTTCTCTCAAATATCTCAGCAACTTGCAACTTGCCTACATGCAACTTGCAAAGCATCTGCGCTGCTCATTACGTGTTGAAGCATTGAATAATGTGTATTTACTCTATATTAAAGGTAACCCCTTTTCATGTGCAATGCTATCAACCAAGAATGGTTTGTGTTTAAAAATTCCTTAAACCATTTTGCTGTTTACTTCTTCTCTCAGGTAGTTCACATTCCCTTGTTCCCACCATTAGAACAGTATTTAGACTACGCCGGGAACTTAAGAAAGTCAAGATGGAAGGTGAATAAATAATGTACATTTAGAGAAAAAACAATTTTAGTAGAATGCTATTAAACACTTCCACTTCTTTATCGAAGTATATTTTCCCACTGAACTCCTGCACATGCAGTCTTTTACAGCAGTAATTATTAACAACTGTTATGCCCATTGGAGGCGTAAGATATAAGTTACGTTACTACGCTGGCACCCAGCACCTAGATGGAGGCTGTTTTCACAAGTGGTAAATCCTGGCAACCCAGCCATCAGCCGTCTTGTAGTAAGGAGACAACCTTCCATTGCACTTGGGGAAAAAAAGAGTAAAAGAAAAGAAACTGGCTTCTTAGGATAAGTTCATCATGGTCATATAAACTTTCAAATGTTGGTACATATGCAAAATTACAGGTGCTGTTTCAGGTTATGCGTAGTTTCGTGGTGCGCACTTGCAGTGCTCGGGATTTGTACGCGCATTAAGTGCGCGGTATTGTCGTGAATCCTGGATACAACTCTAGCATTTTATCAGAGTGCTTAGACATTTTTAATGGTATCCATTTACAACCTTGATGTCTTAAGGCCCCGCAAGCGTCAAATTGTGCTCTAATTTAGAACAAGGTGTACACATGTAGGTTGTAACTTGAGTTTTTATGTCGAACGTTGAGGAGCCTTTGTGTAAGCCACCTCAGAGTTACGATGACCACATCGCGCTACCAGAGGTTATTAGCATTCCCACATTGCTGCTTCAATACTGCATGTAGTACTAATGCATGTGAGTGAACTGTAGTACATGTAGGAGGGCCTCAATGGGGCTAACCGTTAACCATAATATAGCAAAAACATTTTCCTCTTAGTCGGAAAAATTGACGAATTTCAACCGTCAGTCTTAACATAGCATAACATAACTGTTTATTCACAATTCAAATTTTGAATAAAAGGTAAAAAGGAAACAAGAGGTTACCCTTTTCAAGTTTTTCTCCTTAAATAATTAAAAATCACAGTAAAATAGTTCAAAAATTCCTAAAACATTAGTAAAATGGCATCTGAGTCTGTTCTTGTAAATGTTCAGCCAGTAATCTGGGATCGCCACGGGGCAAACAACGGAAATTGCTACAAAGAAATATATGGCGAAAAGTTGTCTTGGCGTCCAATAAAACGATTTTTGAGATAATTCAGCGCTTTTTTGCAGCCGTTTTATCAGAAAAGGATGAAAGCAATGTCGATACGTGGGAAGTCTAAGTCTTTGATCAAATAACCATGAAATATGTGTTAAAATCTACCGATAGATTTCTCTCCTTTCGTAAGGTTTATTGTGAAATCGTCATTTCGTAATGTTCTCGAAACATCCCAAAGTTACGTATAAATCAAAGGAAATTACCTAATAAAGTAATTTACGTGCACAGCCATTTTTAATACTAGCTAACGTCTTTCATATACAAATTATGGCTTCCAGAAATTTACCTCCTCAAAGGGGAGAATTCGTCGTCAGAGGAGATGGAAATTGTTTTTACCAAGCAATTGCCCTCTGGAATGATGAAATAAGTGATGAAATAACATGAAGAAATCCACAGGTTAAGTGCTAGTTTGATAGAGAGAAATCCGAATGTGTTTGAGCCGCTACTTTTCTCTTCGAACTCCGTGGAGGATCATGTCAAAAACAGCAAGATCACGGGAACTTGGGCTGAAACTGTTGACATCTTCAGCTGTGCATCACTTCTCGAGCGACCCATTTGCACCTTCTTATCGTCGCAGAAAACATGATACAACTTTGAACCGACTGATTCGTTTTCATCGCTCATAAAAAAGAAGTGCAAGTGTCCAATCACTTTGATGTATCATGATAAGTATGCTCAGGCAAATCATTTTAATCTCCTTCTGCCTAGAGGTAACTGTTGTAGTGCTCCAGTGCCTGAGAATACAGCATCCTCTGTTTCAATAGATTTAGAAAACGGTGGTAATTCATACGCCAAAGCTTTGAAACAAATGTCACAAACTCATCCTTCCTTCAAACCACATTTGATTAAATCTACAGAGTCCAAGCAACCCGGTCAAGATCTAACTTCTTTAAGTACAAAAACATTGTCTTCGAACTCTAAAACAATTGCGGAAAAGCCAACTCAATCTTCAGAAGCTACCACTGCCAAACAAACCTCTTGTGTGAAACAGCTAAATCCAGCTACATGTACTAAACCTTCTGCTGTCCAACAACCATCTTATTCTACCATGACCAGTTCCCAAACACTAGCAGACAAAACTTCATGTACCACTACTAAGCAACCATCTTGTAAACAAGCCATTGCTACAATTACTGGTTCCAACTTTGATCAAATGGATGTGAAAAAAATTAAAGCATTTATTTCTGCCCGGGGTGTTCAAGTCTCCACTTACTGCAAAACTGAACTTATTCACCTAGCTAAAGCAATTGCTTTTATGGACCTTCCTAATGACCCTGAATTTGAAAATGAGTCCATTGATGAATGTTTGTCAAGACGCCTCACACTTCCAGTAGGACAAAAAATTTTGAACCCCTTCCAAATGGCATCATTGACCAATGATTTCTCTCAGCTCCCTCCATCTGGACTAATGGACATTTTTAATCATCAGATTATGAGCAAAACTGATTATGATAAAAGCAAGTTATCCTCCTGGCGCTCATTTGAAGAGTACAATTTATGTACAAATGGCCATGTTCAAAGCCTTGGAGTAAACACTACAGAGGACCTTGATGGCAGTACTTTTTTTGTGTTTGTAGCTGGAGTTATACTAACTCAGAAACAAAAAAACTTGAGAGGGCGATAAACTTTACAGGCTCTGATTTGTTCTGGACTCAACTGAGTGTGTGTATTCTGCATTCTGTATGTGCAAGGGTGGAGCCGATCAAGGATGCAGACATTTAGGAGCAACTTTGTTTGAACTTGATGATTTTCTTTCAAATCAAAGAAAGTCTGTCACCTCTATGTCTGCATATTGGAACCCCAAGCCAACACACCTGTGTCTGAAATGAAAGTTTCCAAAAGCTCTTTGATGAAAAAGAAAAGAAAAATAACACCATACGATGATTCCTGGATTGATTCCCTTGATCCTAGACCCATGAAAGGTAGAAAGGAAATAAATCATAAAGAAAATATTGATTTTACAAAGAAACTTTGAAAAATTGATCCTTGTTCCGGTATTCTTGATTTTTTACTGTTTTCCCCAAATTATGATGAAAATGAAAATTGTTCTTCTCATTTTGATAATAGTATATCTCACCTGACCATATCATCCCAAGCTAAGAATTATGTCAAGACAAATTCTAATAAGCTATCATAGGACAACCTTTTAAATTTAGCTGAAGAATTTCTAAAAGCCTTGACCTTTTCAGACAATGATAGCATGACTATAAACGAAGCAACCATGGGACAACACGAAAACAAAAGCTAGCATGAGATGAGACACCTTTTAGTTACTGGGAAAAAATAAAATCTCTTTATACCTGACAAAAAACTTTAGAAAAAGATCCTCATATTGATGTATCACTCACTGTTAAAAATTTCACAGAACAAAAAGAATTCAAAGAAAACCAAGTGTATCCTGAAGCCCTAGAACATGGTATAAAGGAAGAAGAAAATGCAAAATTTTACTACACAAAAGTCAATGAAAAAAAGCACTGTTCATTTGATCTTAAGGAGCCAGGTCTCCTTATTAGTAGCAGTTCTTCTTGGATAGGAGCAAATCTAGATGGTATTAGAAAATGTCAGTGTTGTGACCCTATGGTAGTAGAGATAAAATGTCCATTTAAAGGGAATGACCTTGACCCTAAAATTGCTTTCCTGCTACCAACTGTTGGTGGAAAAAAAGATGAAAATGGAAATGTTTTTCTGGACAAAAAATCATTGACATTATTTCCAAGTTCAGACTGGCATGGCAGTTGCAGGTTTTAAAAACTTGCGATTTTGTTACCTATAATAGTAAAGGGATATGTATTGTTACAATTACTTTTAATGATAAGTTTTGGGAAACTGTTGTAGCAGCAGTTCACAAGTTTAATTGTCAGCAAATAGTTCCTTCTTTCCTTATGGAAGCCTTACCTGATGACAATTTTCACACAAAAGAGTTATCCCAAAGACAAGAAGATCAACAAATTCAGTAAATATAAGTTCTTGTTTCTACAGTATGCTCCTTACTTTATGTTTCTTCCACATAAATTAGTTAATGCCGCACAAACAAAAATAATTCTATCAACACTGGTTTTAACAAAAGTGGAATAACTCCTGAAAGAATTCTAAATTGCTTCAATCTCAAAATGTTTCTTTCAACGTGAGTTCTTAATGATGCCACACGACGGCTATGTGTTGTCCCTTTTACTGATAGGCATGGTCCTCGAGAGTAGGCTGGTGAGACAAGGCGGATTTTCTTAAATGTTAAGAGATCCCAAATCACAAAACCCTTGTCAGCCATGACTGCATCCCCCTCCTCAAGCAAGTCTAGCAATCCACTTTGCCTAACAATTTCTTTGTCACTGATGGATCCTGTCCTTAATGGTGGAATGAAGGATATACCACCAGTTGGTGTTATTGCTACCAGCAATTTGGCAGTGTTCCAATGTTTGTAATTACTCCATGTGATCTTTTGGCTTGAAGGAACTTTTGGTTTTAGTATGAAAAGTTCAAGACAGTAAATTATAACTCTTACATTCTTAAATTTTTTTAACCTTTTTGGCAGACATTTTTGTAATTCTGATCTTGAAGGCCATGGAACCAGAAAGGGCAGCTCTTGAGAAAGAAATATTATCCATGTATTGTAAATTCTGGATACTTCAGAAAAATTAATGCCAAAAGTGTCAGCTAGGAATTTGACATCAAAACCTTTTCTTGTTCTCACTAAGGTAAGAACAAGTAGTTCCCATCTTGTCAAGACTCCACCATTTTTTCTCTGTTTTTGTGTCTCAGCTACTGGTTTTTTTGATGACTTTTTAGTATTCTTATTACCCCTCCAGAGACGTATTTCAACGGCCTTTGGTTCTAAAACTTAAAAAACCAAATCAAGCCTAGACCTAGTTACACCTGTGAAACGATAACAGTTTTTAAAACAAGTTGCTTGGTCAATTAAATATTTTCACTTCTCTTTCACTTGACTTAGACACTCTGTCTGTGTAGCTGATTCAACAAGAAAACTAGCTTCATGATCAGTATCTGCAGGGAATGCTGAGGCTACATAATCTAATTCAGTGTTTTCTTCTAATAAAGTCTCGTCCTCCGCAAAGGGCTCATTCTCAACTGGAACTTCACTTTCGTCACTATTTCGCTTTCTCTTCCTTGAGCGACTCTCTTTGATCTGTGTAGATCGGATCTCTGGGGGAGGTCTTTTAGATTTACTCTCACAATCGTACCCTTTCATGACAACGTTGGTGTAAGACATTCAGAAGTTCTGTAGCCTTGTGCAAAATGATTTGAACAGACCTTCGTACTCATTGTTACCTTGAAGTGATCACGAGTAATAGATCTAGCCCACGACAAGAAATCTTTCTTACTCTTGGGGGAGTAAAATCTCAATATTCCAACGTGAGGAAGAGTAGTTTTCTTTTCTGGGTACCTTCGATCGTTGTTACAACCTCACACAGTACAGTGATCGCCGCGAAGCATATTTCCAATAATATTTGTGTTAACGAGCTTCGAAATGAGCCAGAAGTATACCGCATACATTAATTTACAAATGAAAAAGCTTGAATGGGTCACTTACTCGCAATTATTACTTAATTTCGAGATATTTCATGACCATTACGAGATGTCGATTTCACAATAAACCTTGCTCAAGGAGAGAACTTTATCGGAAGATTCTAACACATATCTGATGATTATCTAAACAAAAACTTACACTTTTCACGTATCAACATTGCTTTCATCCTTTCCTGTTAAAACGGCTGCAGAAAAGCGCTGAATTCTCTCAAAAATAGTTTTTTTGGACGCAAAAAACAACTTTTAGCCATATATTTCTTTGTAGCAATTTGCGTTGTTTGCCCCGTGGCGATCCCAGAACCCTTTGCGCATAACAGAGGGATCTGATTACTGGCAATTCATTCATTTCGAGAACAATTCAGGGTTCCTGGGGCCCTTTGCTCGACCTATAAATCGGAGCACGCTGTTTGCCTTGTTTTCAGGCTCCGTGATAGATTTGATGTGATGTGAATTCCAAGATCCTTAACGTTAGATTACAAAGGGTTAACCAGGGAAATTTTTCTTTTAAACTCCCTAACAAGAAGTTAGCCCTCATGTGGCCAAAATTTTAACTGATAGCCGTAAAAGCCATCACCCCATTGAGACCCTCGTGAAGCTCGTGCGTTGAGAAATGTTTGCATTAATGTTCCATGTCTGAAATGATTGACAAGACATGTTGGCGGTATCTTTGAATGGCAAATGTAAATTTGAACCCAAGCTTGTCCGTGATCTTTCACAGTTAATGACAACATCGACTCTTAAGTTGTCTTTTAAGAAGTGCCTCATTTTAATAAATTCTCTGAACTGAGAATGTGACCGTAAGTACTAAAATAGTTTGTCTTTTTGTGTCCTTCATGATAGCATTAGAGAACACCATGTATCCGACCATTAGATCAGGACTGGCGAAGTTTGATGTTAGTTTACCCGAGGAACTCCAAGACTATGTCAGTTACTTATTAGATGAGTCAGCTAAACTTCACTTACGCAAGCAAGGTACTTAACGTTGTTAAAATAAGCTTGTATTGGCTTTGAAACATATGTCCAGTTATCCATATTCGGTCGTAAGATTATTGAGAAATACTGGGTTTGTGTAATAGTCAAGAGATTTTTTTTAACCCAGATTTGTGATCTTGTGTCAGGTTTTTTTCATTCTCAGTAGACCTGGTATCTTTATATAATCATCAAATGACCTGCGCGGTCTAATGCCCGTTCTTATTAAGAAAAAAGAAAATTATAAATAAACCCCTTTATGAAGGCCGTGCGCGGTTGCGCTGGCAGGGGCATTTAAAGCTGCAGGGCCAAGCGTGCGTCCACGCGAGAAGAAAGTAGAATGAGAACAGTGGCGTTCATGGAATAAAAATCTGATTGACTGAGTAAGATCAGGTCGGACCAACATGACCCTTCTACTCAGTCCATAAGTGCATAGAATTCTGATGTTAAGGCTGATCGCTTATGTGTTGTAACCTAAGAACTTTATGATCGTATTACCAAGAAAAAGACGTCTCTTTCAATTTATCAACACGAATACTTCGTTGTTATATTTGCAAAGTGAAAACAATTTTTTTTCTCTTGTGTTCTTGAAAATGTTCTGAAACTTTAAAACCACATTTGGAAAAAAAAGAAACAACAACAAGAACAACAACAACAACAACTTCTCTCGCGGGCATTTTCGACTCCAAGAGTTTTAGATTATTAGCGAGGGAAAAGATAATATTGGAATAAAACTTTATGACAACGATTTACAACTTCGCAAAGGATTTGCTGACATTTTAAGACTTCTTGGAAAAGAAAAAGAAAAAAGGTTTGGTTTAATGTTTTTGGTATCGCACGACATTTTTTGTTGTTCATACTGTCCGTCTCCTTGTTTTCCCATCTGGTTTCCTTTGACTTGGGATGATTCAACAATAAGTCGAACACGGAGACTCGAAATTATTTTTGTGTCCAATTTGCCTCGGTGTTTTCTGTGCTTTGTCAGTTTTTAGACTAAAACAATGTAAAGGTAGTTTTTTTCGCGGTAATGTTTTCCAGTAAAAATTAATATTTCTTTTGTTTTAATCCTTTAGTACTTCAACCACCTCGTGCCTTAGAGGAACTACGAGTAGCAATGGATAAAGACGAATTGAAAACATTCCTTACTATTCACATCAGAGAAGGTGCATGGCAGGTGGTGCTGCTGTTTACGGATGAGCTCTCTATACATGAACCACCATGGGGCAGCCATCATGAAATTTATAATAAGGACGAGGACGAGGAGGTGTTTATTGAAGTGATATACAGTTCGACGTCAGGCATATTGAAGGCGTGGCCAACAGAGTTCGACCCTGGTTTGGTAGCACTGTGTAAAGCGATCACCAACAGGGACTGGAAAGTAACCAGATTAATTCTCGCTTACAGTCGGATATCTGATGAAGGTTTGAAGAACTTAAGTACAGCGCTTACTCAGGGTGAACTTTACAGCTTGACACTGTATGACATTGGTTTACAAAATCAAGGATTAGAACACCTGTGTACCGCGCTAACCAGCGTAAACTGCAGATTAACAAACTTAGACGTCAGTTACAATGATTTGGGAGACGTAGGAATAATGCAATTGTGTAACGCGCTAGCCAGCGTTAACTGTAGATTAACAAGCTTAAACGTCAGTTGCAATAAGTGGGGAGACAATGGAGGAATGCACTTGCGTAACGCGCTAACCAGCGTTAATTGCAGATTAACAAGTTTAAACGTCAATGAAAATCAGTTGGGAGACAACGGACTGAGACACTTGTGTGATGCACTGACCAGCAGTAACTGTGCTTTAACCAAATTAAAAGTCGGTTTTAATAGACTAGGAGATGGAGGAATCAAAGAATTGTCTGAAGTCTTAACCAACGGATTCTGTACATTAACAAGCTTAGACATAGGCGGCAATGAATTTGGAGATGAAGGAATCAAGCACCTGTGTAAGGCCTTGACTGATACCAAATGCATACTACGGAGCTTAAACCTCCAGGGAAATCGGTATGTAACAGATGATGGAAAAAAATATTTGTCTCAAATGTTAACTGGTACTGACTGGGAAGATAAAGGGGCTCTACGACTTTTCCGTTCAACTAAAAAGTAGACCAAGGAACAGGTCAGTGGCACAAAGCCCTGACAGGTTCCTCCTGTTACGTTTCGCTTGTCATGAAATAAATTCCATTTTTATGAATGACAACTTGAAGATTATTGTTCAAGGTGATTAATTAGATAGCTGACCTGCTAGTCACTATCACTTGTTGAACGGAGTAGTAAAATTGATCAGCAGTGAGGCAGTCGAAACATTGCGATCAAGAATCGAGAAATGACTCGCTATCATGACACAAACGAACGAGGGACGTAGGAAAAATTTTGAGTCCCCATGAGGAATCTTCTCTCAGACCTTCGGATTCCGCACTCTGATGCTCTACCACTGAGCCACAATGCGTGAGGTCTACTACGAAGTTCATATAAGACGCGTCCTGCATACTGCGAGGTTCTGCAACGTCGATAGCGTAATGTTTGTAGATAGAAATAGGAGAGATGGTAAGTTTTGAGCTCGGTAAAGCTCAAGTTTTTGTCTTGTCACGAGCGTGAGATAAAGAATAGAATCTGAGTCCCCATGAAGAACGGAACCTCAGACCTTCGGATTCGGCGCTCCGATGCTCTACCACTGAGTCACAGAGACTCCACGGTCTTTACCGAGCTCAAAACTAACCATCTCTCTTATTTCTATCTACAAACATTACCCTATCGATATTGCTGATCCTAGCAGTATACAGAATGCATGTCATATCAACTTCGTAATAGTCTCTGTGGCTCAGAGGTAAAGCATCGAACCGCTGAATCCAAAGGTCAGAGGTTCGATTCCTCGTGGGGACTCAGAATTTTTTCTTCGTCCCACGCTCGTGACAAGACGAAAAAAAAACATCTTTCTCGATATTGAATTATTTTTTTATAACCTAAGTAATGAATATCGTTGTCTTCTAAGAGAAAACTTTTAAAAGGTCTACATGAACTTGTGACGTACAAATAAAGTAATAACATATTTTCTCAATTTTCATAGGCTTTCAATTTTTAGTTGGTAGACTCCAAGAGTATTATGTTTAGCTTAATCGAAATACACTTGGACAATAAGGAATGTTTTGTTCTGCCTTGTCCGTTTTCGAAGCCAAATGTAGGCGTTGTACAACCAATTGTACACTCGTTCAAATGAGTTTATTTGGACTTTACCTAGTAAGTCATTTGTGCAAAGCTTGTACTCTAACTCGTAATTTTTTTCATTCTAGCTGATGATTTTATGGAGTGCAGATTTATGTATTACTCTAAAATTACATACTAATGATAGGAAATTGTTTTACGGCTTACGTAGTCCTTATAATATACAATCTCTTTTTCAATTTACTGTAATAGTTCAGAATGTAATGTAATCTAATTGATAATGTGCAAGTTATTGTTCCAAAATTCTCAACTCTCGGTAGAAATCATGTTTTAATATATATTTGATGTTTTTTAAAGGACCACACTAAACTGCGAAGTATATTAACCAAGGACATTGAATATGTGTAAGGACTGCAGTTGAATTTAATAAATGCTGTTATAATTTTTCGATCCTAGCTTTTACTGAATCTAGCTGGCAATAGAGCCTTAGTGAAGGAAACACGAGCAAGAACACACGTATCTGTTTTATCGTGGGAAAGAGTCAAGTAAAGTTTTGGTAGGCAGGGACGCTCTTCCATAAAACCAACTGCCTGGACTTAGCCTTGGACTTCCTTTTAATCTTCTCGCAAATTTACTGACAACAGAAGCTAGGGAAACAAGTCTGTAGCTCTCCACTCTGATTTTGGCACCTTTCACATAAAGCGGAATAACTCTGAGCTGTGTCAAAAACAAATGAACAAATAAGCAGCTATATTCCCGGCCTTCGGAATTATGCCAATTTTGAATAAATTATTAAACAAAGTGCGTAGGGGCGAGGATAGTAAGTTACTACAACATTTTAAGATTCTTGGATGAATGTTGTCAGGGCTGCAGCTTTTATAGGCATTTAATTCCAACTGGAGATTTTTAACTTCATTGTGTTTGATACCTGCGCAAAACTCTTTGTCCTATCAATTTCCTGTACCAAATTAGAGTATTTCAAGGTTGTTTGTTAAATTTGCCATCGCCTTCCTTTGCAATCTTAACACTAGTCTAACTAGTCTGACTAGTCTAACTCCCAGGGTCTTTTGTTCACCTGACATATTAATTAATAGAGAAAAGCAAAAAGCAACAATTCTGTTACATACTTGAGCATGTCATCATCATCAATTCATCAAATCCCAAAGTTGAGAGAAGAATTGATTCAGCTACAAAAACCGTTGGCGCATTACATAAACAAATCTGGTCTCATCAAGAGATCAGAATAGCTTCTAAGATCAAATTGGATATGTTACTCTTGTTCTCCCATCTCTGCTTCATTTAACAAAAACAACGGCATGGTACCGGAGGCATCTCAGAAAACACCAGAATAAAAGTTTGGTACAAGCAGAATCTCGTACCACAGCATACATCAAATAGTTGCATTACATTAAGTGAAGTAGGGAGGATAGAAAGTCTGCTGAAAAGATTTGCTGACGCGTCACACGGAGAATACAGGCATGAATGACGGCATTAACAATATTTGAGTAGTATGAAAAGGGTTCTTCATTTATTGACACAAATATTCACAATAATGTTATCGCATGAACTTACCAATTGCAGCTTTCGCACTTCCAGCATAAATTGAGACAAAAATTAATTTAAAATGCTTCCTCACATGAGTACTTATAATAACAATCCTTTCATTTCCCAAATTGACCAAAAAGGAATTTCTCCTTACAAGATTGATACTTTTTCATGCAAAAAGATAGTGGGAAGGAAGGAAAATATCTACTGGGCGATATACTGTTGATTTAACACCAAGTCCTCAGTGCTAAATAGAAGTAAGGAATTGTAGACCATGAGGAAAATTGCGTGATACTCAGACCTGAGTAATGGAAATTGGATGGCATACTTGATCTCTTCATTATATTTCACTATGTTAGTTATATTATTTGGGAGACCCCTATTCAGGGAACACAAACTTTGGTCTCAGAAAAATGTTCTATCATATCTTTGTATCCGTTACCTCTATGGAAGGGACACTAATCACAATGACAGCAGCTTTCACAACATGACCTTTCTAACACATGGTTTGATGATATAAATTTTTTTGCCAAAGGATGACAGTTCAGACAATGCTTTTTTAGGGGGGTTAATTATGGACAAACCCTAAACTTTACTTAGGGGACACTTGCCCTGGTCTCAGGGTGTCCCCTGGATTGCGTACTTGATCTCTTCATTATATTTTCATTGTTTAGATTATTTGGGAGACCCCTATTCAGGGAACACAAACTTGGTCTCAGGAAAATGTTCAATCATATCTTTGTATCCATTACCTCTGTGGAAGGGACTCCTCTATTCAGGGGATCAGAACACTTTTTTGGGTTCCAAAGCCTGGTTGTAATGTCCATTTTGACCACTCAAAATGTGACTGACCCCAAAGATTAAGTATACCCTAACCACAATGACAACAGCTTTCACAATATGACCTTACTAATATGGCACATGGTTTGATGACTTAGACTTGATGACAATTCTTGATGAGAATTCAGACAATGCTTTTTTGGGGGGGTTAATCATTGACAAACCTTAAACTTTATTTAGGGAACACTTGCCCCGGTCCCAGGGTGTCCCCTGAATGGAGAATACTCAGATGTTGTGTTGAAGTAAGGCTGTGATATTGATAATGTTACTACTGTCATTGTTCTAAAAAAATAGTAATTAAAGGCACCATAAATTTTGTTGGTGACAGTGCAAATAAAAAAGAAATATCAATTTATGTGGTGAATATTCTACCTCATTAAAAATTTTTAGTGAAGCATGTTGCCCTGGGATTTCTTATCTCCCAATGCAAGCCACAATCATTATTGTTACTGAGAACCAATTTAATTAGATCCTATCAAGTCAGTTCTGCACCTGCCAACCACTTTCAAATTTGCTCATACAAGCAACCCTCAAAATCAAAAACTAATAACCATAATTGTTTTTTGGAATTTAATTTTTGTTTCCTGACACCTCATTGGGATTTTTTGTGACACACAAAAATATGTTGAATTAAATTAACCTTTTATGGATGTTCCTTGAAAGGTTTCCCAAAATATATTTAAAAATTGTATAAAGATATATAATAATATTAATAATAATAATAAAAATTAATATAGTAATTACTTATAACTAAACAAGCTCTAAAGGTTCATGCTAATATACTGTGTGGAGGTACTTCCTCATGGCAATCCTAAAAGATTTCAAGGAGGTACAATTCTCAGAGTCATTGTCCAAACTGTTCCATAAGCTAGTTGCTCTATAGGTAAAAGTACTTTGGCCTGAGGCAGTTTTACAAATTGGTATCTGAAGTGAGTCCCTTTGTGCGTGTAATGAGCATGAATACAAGAGCACTCAATGAACTTATCACTCTGGTATTGTGGAGCGAGGTCATTCCGACATTTGTACGTCGTTACCGTGTCCTTATACAGTAGTAGTTGCTTTACAGGTAGCCAGTTCAATTGGTGAAGCAAAGGAGTTACATGGTCAAATTTCTTAGAGTTCGTAATCTATCTTGCTGGCAAAGTTTTGGACTGACTGTAGGTTACTGATATTTCCAGCTGATGTGTTTGACCACACAGTGGAACAACATAACATTTTACTAAAGACTGATGCTATTAGGTAATTTTAAAGTTTCTTTGTTAAAGTTCTTCTTTACCCAATTTATCTGATATAGTTTAGAAAAGCAGGACGAGACCACACGTGTGATGTGGTGATCGTAAGTTAAGTGGGGGCCCAGAATGACTACAGGTCCTTGGCTGAAGTAGCTGGTTGTAGTATCCAACCAATGAAGGACACTTAGGGAACTCCTGGTATCCTACTCATCCACTGACTAGTTCCGATATAGAGGAGCTTGGTCTTACTTGGATTTATCGGTAAGTTGTTTGCATGGCACCATCAGACCACATTGAGCAGGTCTTGTTCAAGCTTCTCAATAGCCGAATCAACTTCTGCCGGTGGGAATGACAGTAATACTTGGAAGTTGTCCACATATGACTCCAGGCTGCAAGTACAAGAGTATATAAGAGTCTATTCTTTACGAATTATCCAGGTTATTTAAAAGATATGTTCACGGTACAGTCTTCATCTTACAATTTGCGCGGAAATCATATCATGTCCCTTCCCAACCCAAAAACAACGACATATGGTCTGCACTCTTTTTCATACTTAGCTAGCAAAATATTTTGGAACTCTCCCCAAGACACTTACAGAACATTAAATTTTCTAGAATTCAAGCAGATCCTCAGATATGAAGCTTTTCCATAGTAGATCTACAAGTTATGTTTACCTCTTAGTTTTCTCTCTTAGCTTTTAGTTGTATATAGTTTATAAATAATATTGAAATTGTAAGATAGCATATTTTTATTTCATTTTAGCTTTTTTTTTTCTCGAAGATATTAGCTCTACAGCTACACTGAATTTCGAGCTTAAATAAAGTATATGTATGTATGTATGTACTAGAAGCTGAGGGCAGATCATTGAGGTAGATGCAGAAAAGCAGTGGTGAAATGATTGTGCCTTGTGGGACTCCATGTGTTATTGGCAGGGGGTCCAAAAGAGTGGAATCAATTTGAAAAAATTGAGAGCGCCCTGATAGATAGCTCTTGAACCAATTAACAGTTGAAGGTGATACTCCTACTTTGGAGAGTTTAAGAAGCAGCTTTTGATGTTGAATGCTATCAAAAGCTTTTGAGAGGTCAAATAGGATGATATATGAATATTTGTGGTGTTTACATGCAATTTTCTGAGTTTCACAGAAATATCACAGTTAATTAACTCTATCAATTTCTTGCTAACATTAACAAACACTGGCTGGCTGCAGCCATCAAAGTTACCTGTTTTTTTAATTCATTCACCAAAATGGGTAAAAAATTGTCCACATCCAAACTGAGTAAAATAAAAAAAATCCCTGCTGATTGGTTCAAGCTTAATTAATTAGTGTTATTTCAAACTCTACTGTGTTTCTAATGAGTAAAATTGCATATTCATCAATTAAGGATATAAACACAGCTAGTATCTAATACTTGAGGTAAAATTATAATTCTAGGTAAAAGATGTTGCCTTCAGTTAATTAAAAAAAACCAATCCCACATTAAAACATTTGTTAGACACACAGCTTTGCTAACACAGAAGGTTCGAAAAGCATCAATGTCAAAAACTACAATATTATGACAAAAAAATTGTGAATAATAAACTGTTACAGAATTTTAATGACAAAATACTCAATGTCTACCTCTGCAGAGGATAGTCTTCAGCAAATTGACCGGATGGTGTCTAGACAATGCAAGTGGAATTCATTGTCAGAGGCAAATGATCAGAGTATAACTTCCACTTGGGTTGTGAAAAAAAAGTATCTGGTTCATTTACTTCCACAGACAACAGTCCTCTACTGGAGATTGAACAAGAGGTCAACAAACAAAAACAGCTTTTACTAAACAATTAAACACCACAACAGACAGAGGCTTGTTTTGGGACCAGACAGTATATTTAATGTATATATCCTATGTAAATAACACACCAGACTATAACATATTACAAACAAAATATTACAAACACGGATGAAATAAAGAAACAAACAAAATTGTCAATGGTCTGGGTGGAATGGAAAATAAAACTTTCTTAGAAGCTACAAATAACTTTTGTTGCTTGCTTGCTTCCTTGATTACAAATAACACATGCACAGATACCTAAGGGATTATATACTAAAGTAATTTTGCGATTGAAATGTGTTAGGCTACATGAACCATCATGTAGCCACTTATTCCAGTGTCTGGAGCAGAGAGCATAAAGCAGCATTGGTACATTGATTGGACAGGATTTCAGTCTAAAACAAATCAGTTTTAACTGAGTAAGGGTGGCCCAGAATGGGAAACATTCATTCAGTTTAACACTCTCAGTCATGAAATTTGGAACAAGCACAGAATCAGAATGCCGTACATTTTTGAATCCACAAACTAGAGTCAAATGTTTTTATCAGGCCCTACCATTCACTCAATAAGTACAACATACTAACTTGCTCTTTTCCGGACATTTCATATGATGCACTATGAAAAACCACATCAATCTGATGACTAGTAAATATCTTTCTAACATCCTCTTTACTTGTTCTACCCCCTAAACATAAATATGAATCTTATGACATAAAATAAGAGTTAAAGTTATCATTATATTAAAAAAAATTAACTTGAACCCAGGATATCGCATTATCCTTTGCATGAAAAGTGGAAATTATATAAGAATTCTAGAATGTCGGGTGTCCAATTTTAAGAAAACACTTCCCTCTACCGGGTGTCTGACACAGCAAATTGAAATAACTTCCATGTATTTTCCCCATAGTAAAATCTAATATTTTCGTCTGTGCGTAGTACAAAGGAAAGATCCGAATGGAGCTGTTTTGGTAAAATAATCCAGGGTAAATTATATAATTTCCCGGTTAAGTCTACATGTAAACACTCCATTTGCTCGTACGCAACCTCATCCAGCGGCCACAAGATGTCAAACAATACAACCACTGCTCCCTTCCAGTCACAAGAATCCTTCCACTGATTTCCTACCTAACCCACTTTGATAAACGAGCCTTTATTCAACCAACAGCAGCGTACCTTACGTTACAGGCTACAAAACAAGCAGTGTGGTGTAATAGTCACATCTTATAACCGGACCAGAGAGAGGGTCTTTCTTGCTCGCAATGCTGTCACGTGATAGTAAATGAACCAATTAAAATAATTCATTAAACCGAAGTGATAATCGACGTGGAATACTGCTAATACTAAAATGTTTAGCGAGGTGTTTCACCAGTTTATTTTTCTATAAGTTATAGCTTCAGTTCCTATGAAGTGATTTCAGATCATCAGCGAACTGTAGCTCCAGACTGACACTGAAGGGAGTAGATACAGGACCTTCACTTCAGTAACATATCAACAAAGACTTGGTAAGCCAACTCATGTTAAGTTTTGATGCATGATGCTTAGAATCCTAACTGAAATGAAAAATTTTGGTAAATACCTGAAAGCAACTCATCACGTCTATTTTCAAACGTCGTTTCTAAGATGAGTAATGAACCGAATCATAATTACAAATCGAGTGACACTGTCTTGCTCTTTAAGGCTAAGGTCTTCCCGGATGTCCCTCGCAAAAAATTTTGTGGTAGCCTAACAAAATTTAGGAGTGAATAAAGGGGTAGGTTTCTAGAGAAACTGTGGTGCTGCGTCGGTGGGAGAGTATAGCAGGTAATCTAGTGTTAATAACTGGGTTGAAAACGTAAATTAGCCACCGTAAAGGGTAAAAAAGCTGACGTTTCGAGCGTTAGCCCTTCGTCAGAGCGAAACGTCAGCTTTTTTACCCTTTACGGTGGCTAATTTACGTTTTCAACCCAGTTGTTAACACTAAATTACCTGTTAAAATTTAGGAGTGCCTCATTATTCCAGATTTCATGACAAAATTCTTTTGATTACATATTGATAACTGGTATTCACGAGAAAACTATGATATGTTCTTTTTTCAAATTAATAACAGGAATCGCATGTAGAATAATTTATTCAAATCCTGCATGTAAGCGCTAAACAATTTGTCAAATTTTTAGCACTTTTAATAATAACCTCTCTTAAGTACTGAAGTACCTCCTCTCTGCGTTGTTACCTGAAAACTTTATTTTTCTTTGCTTATCAGAAGGAGGAAAATTTTTCATGGATATATTTTGTCAACTAAATTTCACTTGATCTAAAAGGCGATTTGATTACTCTGTACCATGGTATGCCAGCAGCAGTAATTTCCAGTTGTCATTTAATAACGGTAATCTACAGTTAGTAATTTAAGATATATTTTGTGAGTAAGTAATGAGAGTAATTCGTTTTTTTAATTTTTATTTTAGTAACTTCCTGTTGAACATTAAATGTTCTTGTGATGTCGGGACAATTAAAGGTAGGATATCAAACAACTGCTGCTGCAGCCAAGTTGTTTCGTTCACTCTGGTGTAATTTCATTTATAGAAACTTCACTTTTATTAGTGCATCCCTGCCAACTCTCTCACTTCAGGAACAAATTGCATTCTTGCAGATATGAAACTTATGATTGTATAGCAGTATTACTGGTATTTAGCGAGCAGGAGATCAATGTGGAAAAAAATCACAGGAGAGTAAAATAAGTTCACATCAGTTTAAGATTAAAAGTCCGTAAAGACGATTATAGCAAGTTTTTCTTCTTGGATGATCAAAGCTGAGAAAAAATATGTTCTAGGTCTCATGTTTCGCATTTTTTTAGGTAATAAATGATCATATACATGTAAGTTGGTTAGAGTTGGATTATTTAAAGTTTGCCTTGTCATGCAAAACCAAAGTCTGAATATCTGAAGAGGAAAAACTTGTGTATAACATTTTTTGTGTGATATAAAAAAGTTACAGATGCAGGTCACTCCTTAAAGTATGAGATTACACAGTTGTATCACACTAACTCTGATATCCACAACAATTGTTCTTTACTGTCTCATGGAAATTTTGTGCAACTTTTGTTTATAAGTTTATTGAGTTTGTGAAGTTACTAAATGAATTGAAAATTAAGAATTAAGTGCCTTTCAAAAAAAAACATTCATAAGTGAGTTTTATTATTTCTATAACTCTAATTGAATTTCCTAAATCACAAGAATCTTGTGTTTACAGGATGACACTGGGGAAAGAAAACTGAGAGTAACCCTTTTGAGTACTGAATGGAAAGCTTCAAGCAATGGAGACTTGACAACCATCAACAGAGAGCTAGCAATACAGATGGCTAAACATCCCAATGTGGAAGTCAGTGTCTTCGTACCTCAGTGTAGTGAAGAGGACAAGAAAGATGCTGATAGCTACAATGTTAAACTCATTGAAGCAGTTAAACTGCCTGGCTTAAAACCAGTTCTTTGGCTAGCCTCTGTACCTGATGGCCATGCTATGGATTGTTTACTAGGGCATGGAGTAGCTCTTGGTCGGCTAATTCCTCTCATAAAGAAAAATCCAAATTACAGTCATTGCAAATGGATTCAAGTTGTCCATACTGCCCCTGAAGAAATTGGCATGCACAAAAGCATTTCTGAAGGTCAACAAATGCAGCAAACAGAAATAGAACTATGTGAAATGGCTGATCAAGTTGTAACAATTGGACCCAAGCTAACTGATGCATATAAGCGCCAACTCAGAAAACAAGACGTTTTAACCTGACGCCAAGCATTTTCACTGAATTTTCAGGTGTGCAGCACGCAAGCGAGGAAAGAAGAAGATTTTGTGTCTTAGTTACTGAGAGTGGTGATAGTGAAGATTTTTATGTCAAAGGGTACGACATTGCAGTGAAAGCTATTGCTGAGCTAAAGGATAAATCTTACCAACTCAAGTTTGCTTCCAAACAGAGAGGAAAAGAAGATGAATTAGCAAACAAGTTACTTCAGTGTGGTATTGGTTGTAATCAGCTAATGATCTGCAGCTTTGATGAAAACAGGGAAACATTAGCCAACTTATTATCTGCTGTGGATATTGCTATATTGCCCTCCAAAACTGAGGGATTTGGGTTGAGCGCTCTAGAGGCCATATCTGCTGGTCTTCCAGTACTTGTCAGTGGTAACTCAGGAATTGCAGAAGCCTTAAGGAAGGTGCCTAATGGGTCACAGTGTATAGTGGATTCAGAGGATCCTGCAGACTGGGCCAGAGCAATTAAGGCTGTGCGTTACAAAGAAAGCAATGTACGACTCGCAGAGGCTAGGATTCTTCGTGAAAACTATTTGCAGCAGTTCAGCTGGGAGAAGCCCTGTAATTCCCTTGTTGAAAAGATGTACAGTCTTGCATTTGGTAAGTTTTCTTATCTTGCATCAAGGATGCAGAAGTTTTGATCAAATTTGAAATAATGACAAAGCTTACATGTTCTGTGTTAAATATTAAATTTACAGGTTAGCAGTTGTTTCTAAATACTATAGGGCAGTAGTCATATGAAATGTTACAAGTTTACATTTAGGAAAACTGGTAATCCAAGGCTATAAGTTGGTGGTAATGGTCATTGTTGTTTACAGTAATAACAATTTGTGTACTGCATTTGTACTATTAAATTGGATGATTGCTGACTGTGCTATTTGCTTTGAAGGAGCACTAGTGTAGAAGCCCTCTAATAATGAGGACCTACAAGCAGCCTTCATCCAATATATTTGAAGTTTAATGTGGTATTATTGATTCAAGTGGATTTGAAGTATAATTTTTAACTATATCACTTGTCATTTCCTTGTAAACAACCTGCATTTTATCATATATTCCAACTGCATTTTCCAACTCCATTGAAAAAAATTCACATGGAACTAACTGCAACTGATAGTGAACTTTTCATGCAATTCTCCTATGTCACATGTTAATTCCTTGTAAACAACCTGCATTTTAACACATATTTCCACACAGAGGGCAAAGTCCAGATGGGCAACAACCAATCAAGGAGCCCTCTTTGAAATATTATCCTTTTCTCTTGTTCAGTGTCTCTTCACTTATTCAAGATTGCAATATATCTTTGGTTAGGTTCTATTGGAGATACAACAGAGTTTCAGTTTGCTTTCTGCAGTAAAATTGGGTGGAATTCTATTTTTGGAGCCACTAACTGTAGATGAATAATTTTAATTTTCTCTCTGTTAGAGGAACGGCAGTAAGTGTGGTCTCTTTTGCAACTGTTATTTAGTCTCGTCACGCAATGCGCTCTCTCAAACAGGGAATAGAGGGTGTTGTGTGATGAGACCAAACATCTTATAAAATATTTGTAAAGGGTTTTGGATGAAATCCATCAGCCTTTCAACATGAAGTATGGTAAGGTACATGTCATTAAGGGATGGTCCAGTTTTTTCCCAAGATTGATTAAACTTGTCTCATGAATGAACTCTTGCTGACCACAGTATGTAAACTATGCCGATATAAGAAGTAATTTGTTTTCGAGACATTTCACTTAATGTTTTGTTCTTCTTAAACATCTCTCCCCAGTAACCTGTTATCTTTTCTATTTAGACATCTGGCTCAATATTTTCCTTTCCATAGGGCTGTATTTGTCTTTCCTTAGTTAATTAAATTACAAACATTTATCAAAGATTAATTGGCAAGGCTCTTGTTGGAGAGGCTATGAAAGAAAATTTCCAATAATTTTTGTATGTTGGGTGTTTTTAAAAATAGTTTGAGGTATGTTTATGGTTTAAAATGTTTTTCCTCTTGTAAATCTGATTTTAGATGCTTTATCCTCTGAATTCCACTCCACAAGTTCAAGCAGTGAAAGTCCACAAAAAAAAGAACAATGGGAAAAAAGTGAACAGAAGACAAAGATTATGGAGGCAGTGAAATTGGAAGGTGAAAAGTAAATTAAAAACTTGTATTAAATTATTATGGAAAGCTTTTGTGAACAGTAATAACAATTATGTGATAATAATGGGGCATCAATAAATTAATATAATTGTACACATTTCTACTTATTTCGACAAAACATCTGAAGAGAGGCTGTGAATGCTAATCTCTCTCCGCATTTTTACCCGTAGGTACTTCACCTCTCACTGTAGTATCTACCACTGGTCATGGAAAAGAACTAGAAGAACCATGGCGAGGGAAAGGAGAAAAAAGTGAACAGAAGACAAAGATTATGGAGACAGTGAAATTGGAAGGTGAAAAGGAAATTAAAAAAACTTGTATTAATTTAATTAAGTTAATATGGAAAGCTGTTGTGAACAGTGATAAAAATTATGTGACACATGTTCGAAGAATTAGCTCAATGCAATGATGTGGCATAAATAAATTAATCTAATTGTACACAGTTCCACTAATGAGAATAAAACATTTGAAGAGAGGCTGCATTTTTACCCTCAGGTACTTCACCTCTCACTGTAGTATCCACCACTGGTCATGGAAAAGAACTAGAAGAACCTTGGGGAAGGAAAGGTGAACTTATTTTTAAAGTTAATGTAATTGAAACATGGTGCTCAGCTATTAATCCAAGTGCAAAGTTGTATTTTATTGAAAGTTTTTGACTGTTTAGGGTTCTTTATGTTGGTTGAGTTTTTCCCTTTGTTATTGGGGGAAAAAACCCACTTTTAGGTTGATTTAGTTGATATACTCTTTAAACTGATATCAAACCACCTTGAAATGAATAAAGAGATGTGGAGTTTACTACTTTCAGTTGTTTTTTGCTGACTCATTGAAGTCTAGCATGGGTTCCATTTTGGGTCCAGTTCCCCCATCATGGTCCCAAAATAGGAAAACAACATAGCAAATCACTGACTTGTTGTTTTGATGCAAATGATATTGAAGAAGTGGAACAATTCATAGATGCGTAAATTGTCCAAAAAAAGTTGTAGGAGTGAAGCTAAGAAACTTCAGGAAAAAAAAGGAGAAATGAATACAAGAACCTGAATGCGGTTTTTAGTCATCTTTTGAAATCGAAATGAATAAAACATAATACACATGTAGACTGAATACTTTTTCAACAGTTTTCTTTTTTCGGTTGTAAAGCATCTTTGTTCAAATACAAGCAATCTACTTTTACTTTTGAAAAAGTAAATTCAAACATTTTCAACACTAGGTAATCATCACCGTGATGATTAAATATTTTTAGCCATGTAAATAGCTCAATGGCATTAAATGTTTTGATATTTTTTTCCAGTAAATACTTTTAAGAGAAATGATTCCTTATCTGAGATATTAACACAGTAAATGGTTTGAACCTAGGGGTAACATGTAATAGTGTAGTTTGATTGTCCAGGTGAGTGTAGTCCTGAGAAGGACTGTTGTCAGTAATGGTGACTGACGTTTTGACAACTTGAGCAGAAGTCATCATCAGAGTCAAGTGAAAGGTTGTTGTCAGTCGAATGTACTTAGTCCAGTTTTTGTTTGAGGAAAGGCGATGTCAACAATCACATCGCTGAACATCACCGACTTATGAACCACACTATTGACTGGGACTCTGTGCAGTGCCTAAACTACAGCACCAACTACTTTCAACGACTGGGTGGAAACAAACAAACATAAGTAAACTCTTTCGTCCAATCACTTAATCAGATGTGCTCTACTTTGCGTAATGTCCACCTTCACTAACAGATCCAAACCAACCAATCACGACTGACCTACGCCACTTGAGTTGTACAGCCAATAACATCATGGCAAAACTGACCAATCAGTTTACACAAACCGGACTAAGTACATTCGACTGACAACAACCTTTCACTTGACTCTGATGATGACTTCCGCTCAGGTTGTCGAAACGTCAGTTCACCATTACCAAAAACAGTCCTTCTCAGGACTGCACTCACCTGGACAATCAAACTATACTATTACATGAGATATTAACCTTTTTCTGTCTTTACTTTCATCCATAAATACTGTTAAATGTTCTCAGCTATTATTCAGCAACTTAGTTTTGGTTAGGAACATATTTTCAATTCAGGTTTGCCTCTAAATCCATAATTTCAGTAAAAGGTAGCATTAGATTAACTGTGGCATGTGATATTGAAGAATTACTTAAAGATAGCTATTTCATTGTTCTCTCCCTTGACCTCTACACATGTTATTATGCTTTAAATTTTTATATCAGGTGAGGCACTAAGTGCTAAATATATTTCTGTGTACCTTTGCTCTCAGGAAGTTTTCCTGTCCTTAAATTTTCGACATATTATCTTGAGGTATTACCAGCTGAACTAAGCGATCAGCTTCAGAGGCTCAGAATGGAAGGTGAATATAAAATGTTTATTGATTCATTATCAGAGAGAAATAAATCCAAGCTTGCTATTAAAGGCTTTCACCCCTGTATCAAAATATCATTTTTCAAGGGAAATTATTCCTTATTTAAAAGAACCTGTAGTCTGATTTTATTACTATTGATGAATACTTCCACTCTTTATTCAATTCATTTATTTTCAAGGGAAACTATTCCCAGGTAAAGATGATCCCTCTTCCTTTATACTTTTGGCTATTACGTAAAGTGTTAGCTTTTATATGAAATTTTTCTTAATTTAGTTTTTGCTAATTCTGTGCTGTGGTGAAAGGGAGTATTAAGTTGGCTGTGGCTTATTATGATGAGACAATTTTTCTAAATGGTTGATTTCAACTATGACCATAGGAGATTAATCAGAAAACTGACACTATAACTGTGCTATCACATGACCCCAACACAATGTACAGTGCTAGTTAAATGCCTGTTTTTTAATCATTTATGTGAAATAAGGCACAGAATGCTAAATACAGTGTATCCTTCTGTTTACCTTTCCTTTCAGATACTTTTTTCTACCCTGCACTCTTAACCTCTGAACTTGAAGAAAAACTAAAAGAACTACTCACAGAACTTGAGCGACAAAGAGATAAAGGTGAGTAAAACATGTGTATTGGCTCCGTTGAACAGGGCAAAAGAAATATGGAAAGTGATGCAAGGAAATGGTTGCACTAGTATTTTAGGCTTGTTTTTCTAAGTAACAAGCTGAAAGGTTTTAGTTTGTCATATAGGACTCCTAATTATATTATCTTCCCTCAAATATCTAAGTCCTGCATGCAACTTGCAAAACATCTCCACCACTCATTACATGTTAAAACATGGAATGAACTAACCCCTCCTCTTATATAATGCTATCAACCAAGAATGCTGTTAAATGCTTTAAACCATTTTGCTACCTTCTCTCAGGTAGTTTACCTCCCACTATTTCCACCATTGAAGTAGAAGTAGACGAACTACTCAAGAAATTTCAGAAATGGCGGATCGAAGGTGAATAAATAATGCACATTTAGAGAGAAAATAATTGTAGTAGAATGCTATTAAAATATTTCCAGTTCCTTGTAGAATTACATTACCGCTCGTGTATACATTAACCAAAAAACGCGAATAAAACGCGCCAAAAATCGCATGCAAATGCAATTTAAAAAAATGTGCGCGTCAAAAAATTTGCACATGCGTGCATAAGCTCGATACGTCTGCCCGTTAGTATATATGAGGTAATCCTTTTGTTTTTCTGTTGTTGGCGGTTTACCGTTTTAAAGAATAGGCTAAATAGAAAAACGAAAAGAAGAAAATAGAAAATAGAAATAATAGAATAGAAAAACAAAATGATTACCTCATTTATTCTAAAGAGGTAGACGTATCAAGCTTATGCGCGCACGTGCGATTTTTTGACGTGCACATTTTTTTAAATTCGCAATTGCATGCTTTTTTTGGCTACAATGTAACAGGACTAAAATACTACACTGCTACCAACGACAAGAAAACTCGTTCGTTTCAATCACCGTTCTAACCGACCTTCCCGATATACTGTTACAAACTACTGCGACTTCGTAATAGGAATATACGAATGATTTATCATTTTCCAACGGAATTCTTTAATCAAAATTTGTCACTTCGTATAAAAAAAACATCCGTCACAACGGCCTTTAGAATTCGTTCTCGGTGTATTGTAATTCGGTAGAATCAGCTAAAGCGTCCGTTTGTAACTAGTTGTCGCATTCTTAATGCAAACCCACGCGTGAACGTTTAGTTCATAGCTTTATCATCGGTGACCATGCTATTCTCGAAAACTGGTTTATTCATCGCGCCTTTTATACAATATAAGTTCTACTAGCTCATTTTAATGGTGTTGTGTTACAGTATGGTTACCTGTCACGACTACGCCTTGTTCTTATCCATATGCATATCTTTATTGGAAACCGGATTTACTTCTTGTTTTAAAATTTGTAAAATCATCGAGCGATGTTCACCAAATTGCTCATAAAAGGGAAGGGAAAAATTAAATGCAGGATACATTTAGTTCAAGTTTGTATAAGACTCGCAGACGCCTGCAATTGGACAAAACATCAATACGGCGATACTTATGTCCGTCAACACGGTAATCCAGGACTTTTGGAAAATTGGTGGCTCCTAAAGGAGCCGTTTTTTCATTAAAGGAAGCTGTTACTAGGCTCTTCCTTCGCGTTGGACTGCAGTAGAAGTAACTTTCGGAGGTGGCTAATGTATTTATAGCACTCAGCAGCAGTCCCAGAGTCCCTGAACCGATGGATGCCCGCGACAAGTTCGTCCTTGTTAGTTGGCTTGACAACGCGACGCAAGCGAATGTTTTCAGTTCGTGTCAGGGGAGCTTTAAAGGATTCATGTCCGGGCTTTCAGTAGGAGTAGGCCAGTATTTTATGTTATTATCTTCGAATCTTCGTCTTTGACATTGCGATTTACTATAACTTGACCTTTCATTGTAGTAATATAGTGCGCTCCGCAACCAAACAAATCATCACGTGCGATGCGAAATGAAACTGTTTACATTTCTGTGCGACCGTGCGCGCAATACAATCGTATATGCGCGTCTGACTACCCTGAGTCTGAGCGTACGTAATTCGTCTGCGCAGTTAACATATACGCAAGCAGTACTGTAAAATTTTTTCCAGGGAACTCCTGCATATGCAGCCTTCTACTGCAGTAATTATTGACCATTGCTATGCTCATTGGAGGCCTTATACATCAGCTATGTTCCTCCATTGGCACCCAGCACTTAGGTGGAGACTGTTTTCACGAATGGTAAATCCTGGCAACCCAGGCATCAGCCGTCATGTAGCAAGAAGAAAACCTCCCATTGCACTGGAAAATAAAAATTGTAGAAGAAAAGGAACAAAATACCAGGGAAAAGTGAATTTCGTCGTAGTGCATGTTAAAAGAATATCTGACTTCTTAGGATAAGCTCATTCTGGTCCTGGAAACTTTCAAATTTTGCTACATATGCAAAATTACAGGTACTGTTTCATGTTATGCACAGTTGGCGTGGTGCGCGCGTGCAGTGGTTTAGATCTGCATAAGTGTCAAGTGCGCGGTATTGTAGTGGATACTACTAGGGCTTTTTATGAGATTGCCAAGGCGTTTTTGATTGTATCCATTTACACCCTTCAGTTTGTTAAGGCACTGCAAACTTTATTGTCCGGGTCAAAGCTGTAACACAGTGTACACATGCAGTTTGTAACTTGGATTTTGTTACTTGAACGTTGAAGAGCCTTTGTGGAAGCTACCTTAGAGTTACAATAATCACATGAGCTACCTGACGTTATTAACTTTACCATATACTATCGCTGGCCATACCTGTGGGTAATATGAAGAGAATCCTGTGTTGGGATTGACTATCTAAGCTTCCCCCTTGGGATTGCCCGCTTAGATTCCACACAAGAAAAACACTGCGCCAAGGTGACTTACAAATCTCGGTGATGGAGGTGGAAGAAAAGGGACAGAAGACTGTCAAAACAAAGACATCATGAATGACTCGCGTGGGTTTATTGTGCTACAAACACAGTTGGCTTTCTTTCCGTGCTCCTGAAATAAACAAGTCATTCTTGATTCTTAATAAAGTGAAATCTTTTTGAGTTTTATGGACCTCGAGCTCGTCTTGGTCCAATATTCAGCCATCTTGACCTCATGCTTGGTTAACAAAATACACACACAGACACACACACACACACACACACGCACACGCACGCACACACACACACATGTATATATATGTATATAATTGCTTAGTCAGTAAACCTTAGTACATGTAGGAGGGTCTCAATGTAGTTAACCGTAAAATGGCAAAAAAAATAGCCGTTAGGCATAAAAATTGACAAATTTCAACTGTCAGTCGTCAAAATGGTCAACTGAAAAAATTTTTCTTTGATCTTCTGAACAGATTTTCGCAAGATTTTCATTGGAGGGGCTATGAAAGAAAAAATTTCTAGTTTTTACATGTTGGGTGTTTTTAAAAATAGTTTGAGGTATGTTTATGGTTCAAAATGTTTGTCATCTTGTAAATCTGATTTTAGGTGCTTTGTCCTCTGAATTCCACTCCACAAGTTCAACCAGTGAAAGTCCACTAACAAAAGAACAATGGGAAAAAAGTGAACAGCAAACAAAGATTATGGAGACAGCGAAATTGGAAGGTGAAAAGGAAATTTAAAAAAACTTATATTAAGTTATATGGAAAGCTGTTGTGAACAATAATAACGGTTATGTTATAAGTACTTGAAGAATTATCTCAGTGCAATGATGTGGCATCAATTAATTAATATAATTGTACACAGTTCCAATTATGAGAACAAAACATCTGAAGAGAAGCTGTGAATGCTAATCTCTCTCTGCATTTTTACCCTTAGGTACTTCACCCCTCATTGTGATACCGACCACTGGTCATGGAAAAGAACTAGAAGAACCTTGGGGAAGGAAAGGTGAACAGGATGCTCAGTTTGAATTATTTTTGAAGTTAATGTAATTGAAACATGTTGCTCATTATGTTCAGCTACTACCAGTAAGCCAAGTAAAAAGTTGTATTGTATTGCAAGTTATCAACTATTTAATGTTCTTCATGTTTGTTGAGTTTTTCCCTTTGTTTTTGGGAAAAGTACCCGCTTTTAAGTGGATTTAGTTGATCTACCCTTAGAACTGATATCAAACCACCTTGAAATGAATAAAAAGATGTGGGGCTTACTGCTTTCAGTTGTTTTCGCTGACGTGTTGAAGTCTAGCATGGGTTCCAGTTTGGGTTCAGTTCCCCCTAACATGCTCCAAGAAAAAAAAGAAAACAACATAACAAATCACTGACTTGTTGTTTTGATGCATTGACATTGAAGAAGTGGAAGAATTCATCCGTGCGTAAATTGGCCTAAAAAGCTTTAGGAGTGAAGTTATGAAACTTCAGGGAAAAAAAAAATGAGAAATGAAAAAAGAACGTGAATGTAGTTTTAGTCATCTTTTACAATAGAAATTACTGTTATTAATAGGCAAGAATGCTTCTGTCAGCAATTATGATAAATGATACTTGTCAATGCAAATTATTTGAAATGTGTTTCTGCCTCATTCTCTTCTCTAGTTAAAGGTAGTGCTGAGTTTCCTTGCAATAAATTAAGGAAATGTTACATACATGTAGAGTGATTACTTTTTCAATTGCTCTCAATAGTTTTTTTTTTCGGTTTTAAAGCTTCTGTTCTTAAATGTAGATAATCTACAGTGTACATGTACCTACTAGTATCTTTAAATGCAAGTTGGTAGGCCTTTTCCCAACTATTAATTAGTAGAAATGGTAATATCTCTCTACATACCTTTGTTTTTAGGCATGTTGCCTCTTCCTGGATCTCTCACCTTTGATCTTGAAGAAAAACTAGAAAAGCTTTATATGAAACTTCTAACGATAAAAGGTGAAGTAAAATATGCTGTTAAATTAAATTTCATGGCAAATCTAAACCAAGAATGCTTTTAAATACATTTAGTTCTCATTCAAAATATTTTTTTGAAAGGAAATTTCACCCGATTTAGTTTTCCCTCACTCTGTGTTTTGCTAGAAGGGAATATTGAGATGGTAGAGGCTGAGGATAGTGAAACAGTATATAATGATAAACTAAGTTTTTTCGGTGTTGATCCTAAATTACGCCTTAAAAAACCGACAATTAGGTAATTTAGATAGATTTTGTACATCGTATACAATCAGTTAATCGCATGTTGGTTTGACCTGTTATCGTGTCACTATTAAAAGTAACACCATGAGTTGCACTTTGTACCCTACCCCTGAGGGTTGACTCCATTACTACGGACACCCTAGCGGGGAGATTTAGTTTCTGTAATAGCGAAGAGTCTGTAATAACGGGGTATGAGAGATAAAATAAAGTTTCCAACGTGGCCTCACAAACGGGAAAAAGATCAGGCCGCAAGCAGGAAATTCTCATGTTCACACCCAATTGAAGAATGGTTTCTTTATTTTCTTTTTTCATAATGTCGCTTTATAGTATGTTTGTCAGGATTTTGGATGAAGTATTAAGTGTCTGTTATAGCGAGAGAAAGAACAAGAGAAATGTCGTGCTGTGGGGCTTGAAAGTGTCTACATTTCGATAAAAGGAAGAGTCCGTTTTAAAGGGAATTTATTTCGTTTCTTCATGCTTTTCCCTAGAGGGTGGCTCTTGTTTGCGGTGGCGAGGTGTCTGTAATAGTGAGGGGTGCACAGGGCGAGAGTCAACTGTAGATTAATCCAAATTTGGCATTGTTTCATTCTCTACTTTAGCTAAAGATGGTACTGAGTCGGCATGTGGTAAAAATACATAATGGTTGTTTTCAACGATGATCATGGAGTTACAATGAAGATCTAACACTGTTTTACTTCAACATGACTATAATTTGCTGTTTGCACAAGTATATCTGTTGTTATCTTTTCTGTGTAAAGTCAGACACTGAATTTTGAAAAGCTCTGTATACCTTTGCTCTCAGGTTCTTCATCTCTCACCGTCGATGATCTTGAGGTAAAGCTAGATCAAGTATTTGAGGAAATTCGGATGCTGAGAATGGAAGGTGAATAGAAAAATTCATATCTTGTCATTTTTAGGGAGAAACTGATACAAGAATGCTAATAACTGTCCATAAAGTTTGCTTAGGTTTAAAAAATAAGCTAAAATATTGAATAGGTAAAAACCAAACATTTTCAAAACCAGGTCATCATCAGGGTGATGATGACCTAGTGTTGAAAATGTTTGCTTTTTATATATTTTTTAATATTTTAGCCATGTAAATAGCTCAATGCTATGAAATGAATTCATATTTTTCCAGTAAACTCTTTAAGAGAAATTATTCCCTATCTGAGATATTAACGTTTTTCTGTCTTTACTTTCATCCAAGAATACTGCGAAATGCTTTCAGCTGTTATTCAGTAACTTAGTTTTGTTAAAGAAAATATTTTCAATTCAGTTTTGTCTCTTAATCCACAACCTCAGTTAAAGGAAGTATCAAATTGGCTGTTGCATGTGATAATGAAATATTACTTATAGATTATTTCACAATGATATAATGGAAAACTTGCATTATTGTTCTTTCACTTGACCTCGATACATGTTATCATGCTTTAACTTTTTTATCAGGTGAGGTACTTAGTGCTAAATATATTTCTGTGTACCTTTGCTCTCAGGTAATTTTTCTGTCCTTAAATTTTCAACCATTGATCTTGAGAAAAAACTAGCTGAACTAGGCATGGAGCTTCACAGGCTCAGAATGGAAGGTGAATATAAAATGTTTATTTATTCATTATCCGAGAGAAATAAATCCAAGAATGCCGTTAAAGGCTTCCACCCCCGTATCCAATTATCACTTTTGAAGGAAAATTATTCCTTATTTAAAATAATCTGTTATCTGATTTTATTACTATTGATGAATGCTTCCACTCTTTATTCAATTCATTTATTTTCAAGGGAAAATATTCCCTAGTAAAGATGATCCCTCTTCCTTTATAATTATTAAGTGAGATAATTATCTAATACTTTCAGTTCTTCACATGAGCCTAGTACAATGTGAAGTGTTTGTTAAATGCCTGTTTTTAACCATTTATGCGAGGTAAGGCACTGAATGCTAAATACAATGTATCTCTCTGTTTACCTTTCCTTTCAGGTACTTTGCCACCTCCTGAACTCTTTACTGCTGATCTTGAAGATGAACTAGAACAACTTCGACGACTTACTTGGATACTTCCAGAAAGAAAAAGACAGAAAGGTGAGTGAAACATGTGTATTAACTCTGTTGAGCAGGGCAAAAGAAATATGGAAAGTGATGCAAGGAAATGGTTATACTAGTATTTCAGGCTTGATTTTTTAAGTAACAAGCTGAAAGGTGACACACTTCCTTTTAGTTTGTTATAAAGGACTCCTATTATTTTCTCTCCAATACCTAAGCCCTGCATGCAACTTGCAAAAACATCTGCGCTGCTCATTACGTGTTGAAGCATTGGATAATGTGTATTTACTCCATATTTAAGATAACCCCTCTTCTTATATAATGTTATCAATCAAGAATGGTGTTTAAAAATTCTTTAAACCATTTTGCTGTTTACTTCTCTCAGGTAGTTCGCGTTCCCTTTCTTCCACCTTTTATACAGTACATACACTACGGAAGGAACTTGAGAAAGTCAAGATGGAAGGTGAATAAATAATGTTCATTTAGAGAAAAAACGATTTTAGTAGAATGCTATTAAACACTCCCGCTTATTTATCGAAGTATCTTTTTCCATGGAACTCCTGCACGTGCAGTCTTTTTCTGCAGTAATTATTAACAACTGCAATGCTCATTACAGATATAAGTTACATTATTACTTTGGCACCCAGCACTTAGATGGAGACTATTTTCACGAATGGTAAATCCTGGCGACCCAGCCATCAGCCGTCATGTACTAAGGAGACAGCCTCACATTGCACTAGAAAAAGAAAATAGTAAAAGAAAGGAAACAAAAGCTCAGGGAAAAGTGAATTTCTTCTTAGCACGTGTTAAAAAATAACTGGCTTCTTAAGATAAGCTCATGCTGATCTTAGAAACTTTCAAATTTTGGTACATATGCAAAATTACAGGTACTGCTTCATGTTATGCGTAGTTTCGTGGTGCGTGCTTGCAGTGCACGGGATTTGCACGCACATCAAGTGCGCGGTACTGTCGTGAATCTTGGATACAACTCTAGCATTTTATCAGAATGCTTAGGCATTTTTAATCGTATCCATTTACAACCTTGATGTGTTAAGACCCCGCAAGCGTCAAATTGTGCTCTAATTCAGAACAAGGTGTACACATGCAGTTTTTAAATTGAGTTTGTGTGTCGAACGTTGAGGAGCCTTTGTGTAAGCCACCTCAGAGTCACGATGACCACATCGCGTTACCAGAGGTTATTAGCATTTCCATATTGCTGCTTCAATAGTGCATGTATTACTAATGTATGTCAGTGAACTGTAGTACATGTAGGAGGGCCTCAATGGGGCTAACCGTTAACCGTAATATAGCGAAAACATTTTGCCGTTAGTCGTAAAAATTGACGAATTTCAACCGTAAGTCTTAACATAACATAACTGTTTATTCACAATTCAAATTTTAATGAAAGGTAAAAAGAAAACAAAAGAGGTTACCCCTTTCAAGTTTGTCTCCTAAAATAATTAAAAATTACAGGAAAATAGTTAAAAATTTCCTAGAAAATAAGTAAAATGGCGTCTGACCCTGCTCTTGAAAATGTTCAGAGTTTCTGCCTCTGCAACTATTTTAGGTAAATTATTCCATTTATTGACTATACTTGCACAGAAAGAGTACTTAAAACTGTTTAGCTTTGCGGCCAATGGTTTAAGTTTATGGCGATGGTTGGTTCTTAATGGTCGAAAATCATGTGCAAATGTAAAATACTCAAATAGGTGTAGCTCGTTAAGACTGTTAGCCGTCTTATAGCACTCAGTAAGCGCAGAAAATAATCTTCTCTGATGTAGAGTTAGCCATTTACGGACCTTTAAGCGCTCTTCATATGACATATCTCGGGCAATGTTTCTGATTGCATATCTAGGTGTTCTGCGTCGTACTTTCTCTAAAATAGCCGAATCCTTTTTGAGGTGTGGAGACCACACTGGAGAGAGGTACTGAAGTATCGGACGTACTGAACTCATGTAAAATTTCGAGAACAATTTAGGATTCCTGGGGCCCTTTGTTCGACTTATAAATCGGAGCACGCTGTTTGCTTTGTTTTCAGGCTCCATGATAGATTTGATTTGATGTGAATTCCAAGATCCTTAACTTATTTATTGATTTAAGGATTTGTACAAAGCAGGACCGAAGCAAAAACAATAGGACATAAGTTCCCTACTAGGTTTAACTCCAACCCAACCCCCTTCTAAAATAACTTAATAATATAAATAGACTAAATAGGCTGCTTAACAAGTGCACGCAACAAGGGTATTTACCCGGCGACATTTAGGACAAATTATTTTAAAGGTAAGAAAGTAGTCGCCATCAAACACGTTGAAAAGTCTCTTGAAATAAAACGACTTAAGTTTACGCTTAAAAGAGTCAATAGACTCAGCCTGCCTAACATTATTAGGTATATTGTTCCACAAATTTTCTATCCTATTAAAATAGAAGTCCCGAAATGTTGATGTATGATTTTTATTAATCTTAAAGTTCAGCTCTGAGCACGCTTGACGCATCTGACTCGTAACAAAGGAAAAATAGTAATTAAATGAACAAGTTAGATCAATATGACCATGAAGACATTTAAAAAAGAAAACTAAGTCGAGATATTCAAGCCAGTAATTAAGCGGCAATAACTTCAGTTTGATTAAGCGATCCTCATGAGATAAGTTACTACTATTTCTTTTTAGTATAAAGCGTGTGGCTCTTTTTTGCACATTTTTAACTAAGAATAAATTGCTGATAACAGACTGAGGTGCCCATAACTGAGAGCTATAGCAAAAGTGCGAACACACTAATGAACAGTAAAGACGCAACGGCGGAACACTGCCAACAATTCCTGCGCAGCTCCTTCTAATAAAGCCCAGTAACCTATTTGCTTTAGCAACTATCACGAGTATATGATCCTTCCGAGAGGTGTCATTTACGAGCACTACCCCCAAATCTTTTTCAGTAGAGACAGCCTCCACATCTATACCATTTATACTATAGCTACGATATGAACTAATACGCTTCCTAGATATACGCAGATTACTGCACTTTGTAGGCTGAAAATACAATTCATTTGACAAGGACCAAGTTGTAAGCGAAACTAAATCCTGCTGCAATTTCGAAAAATCAGCATCATTATTTATGATCCTATAACATCTAGAATCGTCAGCAAACATAGCCAGCGTCGCACTATTAATTACATTTGGCATGTCATTTACAAATAATAAAAAGAGAATCGGTCCTAGAAGTGACTCCTGGGGTACACCTGACCCAATGCCAGTCCAATTACTGAAAGTTTCATTTGTAACCACTCTTTGACGCCTTCCAGTTAGGTATGAGTAAAACCAGGCGAGTAGGGAATCATCGATTCCAAACGTTTTTAGCTTCAACACGAGCTTTGCCGGGCGCACAGAATCGAAAGCCTTGGCAAAGTCCATGTAAATTATGTCTGATTCTAGCCCGCGGTCCAGTGCATGACCAATGTCATAGAATACTTCAATAAGCCGAGTAACGCAAGACTTGACCTTTTGAAAACCATGTTGAAAAGGATACAAGATCTTCTTAACGTGAGAGACAAGGCGCGAGGCCACACACCGCTCCTGAACTTTAGAGATCACTGGAAGTAACGACACGGGGCGATAATTTTCGATAAACTCTCTTTTCCCTCAAAAATAACGTTAGATTACAAAGAGTTAACCAAAGAAATATTTCTTTTAAACTCCCTAACAGGAAAAAGTTAGCCCTAATATGGCCAAAATTTTAACCGTTAGCCGCAAAAGCCATCACCCCATTGAGACCCTCGTGTAGCTCGTGTATTAAAGAACTTTTGCATGAATGTTCCATGTCGGAAACGATCGACAAAACGTGTTGGTGGTATCTTTAAATGATAAATTTAAATTTGATCCCAAGCTTGTCCGTGGTCTTTCACAGTTAATGACAACATTGACTCTTGCGTTGTCTTTTAAGTAGTTCCTCATTTTAATAATTTCTCTGAACTGAGAATGTGACCTTTAGTACTAAAACAGTTTGTGTCTTTTTGTGTCCTTCATGATAGCATTAGAGAACGCCATGTATCCGACCATTAGATCAGGACTGGCGAAGTTTGATGTCAGTTTACCCGAGGAACTCCAGAGCTATGTCAGCTACTTATTAAATGAGTCGGCCAAACTTGTTTTACGCAAGCAAGGTACTTAACATTGTTAAAATAAGCTGTATTGGCTTTGAAACATACGTCCAGTTATCTATATTCGGTGGTAAGACTATTGAGAAATGCTAGGTTTGTGTAATGGTCAAGGAATTTTTCTTTTAACCCAGATTTGTGATATTGTGTTGGGGTTTTTCATTCTCAGTAGACCTGGTACCTTTATATAATCATCAAATGACCTGCGCGGTCTTATGCCCGTTCTTAATAATAATAATAATAATAATAATAATGTTTATTTCTTATATTGCGCAGTCTAGCATGCGATAAAGATATGATCGAGTGCGCATTACAACACTAAAATCTTAAAGTAGAAAATAAGAAAAAAAAAATAAGAAAAAAAAAAAGATTTATAAATAAACCCCTTAATGAAGGCCATGCGCGGTTGCGCTGGCGGGGGCATTAAAAGCTGCAGGGCCAAGCGTGCGTCCACGTGAGAAGAAAGTAGAATGAGAAGAGCGGCGTTCATGGAATAAAAATCTGATTGACTGAGTAAGATCAGGCCGGACCGACATAACCCTTCTACTCGGTCCATAAGTGCATAGAATTCTGATGTTAAAGCTGGTCGCTTTTGTGGTGTAACCTAAGTACTTTATGATCGTATTCTCAAGAAAAAGACGTCTTTTTCAATTTATCAACACTAGTACTTCGTTGTTATGTTTGCAAAGTGAAAACAATTTTTTTTCTCTTGTGTTCTTGAAAATGTTCTGAAACTTTAACACCAGATTTGGAAAAAAACAACAACAACAACAACTTCTCTCTCAGGCATTTTCGACTCTAAGAGTTTTAGATTACTAGTGGGGGAAAAGATAATATTGGAATAAAACTTTATGACAATGATTTACAACTTCGCAAATGATTTGCTGACATTTTAAGACTTCTTGGAAAAGAAAAAGAAAAAAGGTACTGTCCGTCTCCATGTTTTCCCAACTGGTTTCCTTTGACTTGGGATGATTCAACAATAAGTCGAAACGCGGAGACTCGAAATTATTTTTGTGTCCAATTTGCCTAAGTATTTTCTGTGGTTTGTCAGTTTTTAGACAAAAACAATGTAAAGGTAGTTTTCAAGTAAAAAATTAATATTTCTTTTGTTTTAATCCTTTAGTACCCCAATCACCTCGTGCCTTGGAGGAATTACGAGAAGCAATGGATCAAGACGAATTGAAAACATTCCTTGCTATTCACATCAGAGAAGTTGCATGGCAAGTGGTGCTGCTGTTTACGGATGAGCTCCCCCGCGTAGAACTACCATGGGAATGCTACGAGGACGAGGACGAGGACGAGGAGGTGTTTATTGAAGTGATATACAGTTCGAAGTCAGGCATATTGAATGGGTGGCCAACAGAGTACGACCCTGCTTTGGTAACACTGTGTAACGCGATCACCAACAGGGACTGGAAAGTAGCCAGATTAATCCTCTGTTGGAGGCAGATATCTGATGCAGGTTTGAAGAACCTGAGTGCAGCGCTTACTCAGAGTGAACTTTACAGCTTGACACTGTATCACATTGGTTTACAAAGTCAAGGATTAGAACACCTGTGTACCGCGCTAACCAGCGTTAACTGCACGTTAACCAGCTTAAACGTCAGTGAAAATTGGTTAGGAGACGTAGGAATAATGCACTTGTGTAACGCGCTAACCAGCGTTAACTGTACATTAACCAGCTTAAACGTCAGTAACAATGAGTTAAGAGACGAAGGAATCATGCACTTGTGTAACGCGCTAACAAGCGTTAACTGTACATTAACCAGCTTAAACGTCAGTAACAATTGGTTAGGAGACGAAGGAATCATGCACTTGTGTAACGCGCTAACAAGCGTTAACTGCAGATTAACAGGCTTACTCGTCAGTTACATTGAGTTGAGAGAGAATGGATTGAAATACTTGTGTGATGCACTGACCAGCAGTAATTGTACTTTAACCAAGTTAAAAGTCCGTTTTAATGGATTAGGAGATGGAGGAATAAAAGAATTGTCTGAAGTTTTAACCAACGAGTTCTGTACCTTAACAAGTTTAGACATAAGTTACAATGAATTTGGAAAGGAAGGAATCAAGCACCTGTGTAAGGCCTTGACTGATACCAAATGCAAACTACAGAGCTTAAACCTTCAGGGAAATCGGTATGGGACAGATGATGGAAAAAAATATTTGTTTCAAATGTTAACTGGTACTGACTGGGAAGTTAAAGGAGCTCTACGACTTTTCCGTTCAACTAAAAAGTAGACCAAGGAACATGTCAGTGGCACAAAGCTCTGACAGGTTCCTCCTGTTACGTTTCGCTTGTCATGAAATAAATTCCATTTTTATGAATGACAATTTAAAGATTATTGTTCAAGGTGATTAATTAGATAACTGACCTTGTAGTCACTATCACTTGTTGAACGGAGTATTAAAAATGACCAGCAGTGAGGCAGTCGAAACATCGCGATCAAGAATTGAGAAATGACTCAGTATCATGACACAAATGATTATTTAACGTTCATTATTCGATAGACGAATTTCTCTGTGTTAAAAAAATAGGCTATAAATGCAACTGCAATTTCGTATAACGGGTCTGTTGGCAATAATGTTGTTACTTTTGTAACAAAAAGTTTTAAACTACAGACAATAGGTTATACTGGTGATTTAGCTGCAATAAGATGCCAAAAATATTGAAATAAGAGAGATGACAAGTTTTGAGCTCGGTAAAGAAATAGAGAAAGATATTTTCTTCGCCTTGTCACGAGCGAGGGACAAAGGAAAAGTTCTGAGTCCCCATGTCATATGAACTTCATAATAGACCTCACTTACCTCGGAGTCTCTGTGGCTCAGAGGTAGAGTATCAGACCGCGGAATCCAAAGGTCTGAGGTTCCATTCCTCATGGGAACTTTTTCTTGTCTCGTAACAAGACGAAAAAAAACATCTTTCTCAATATTGAATTATTTTTTTATAACTTATGTAATGAATATCGTTGTCTTCTAAGAGAAAACTTTTAAAAGGTCTGTATGAACTAGTGACTTATAAATAAAGTAACAACATATTTTCTCAATTTTTAGTGGCTTTCAATTTTTAGTTGGTGGATTCCAAGAGTGTAATGTTTAAGCTTAAACGAAATATACTTGGACAAAAAGGAATATTTTGTTCTGCCTTGTTCGTTTTCGAAGCCAAATGTAGGCGTTGTACAACCAATTGTACACTCGTTCAAATGAGTTTATTTGGACTTTACATAAGTCATTTACGCAAAGCTGTACTCTAACTCGGAATTTTTTTTCATCTGAGCTAATGATTTTATGAAGAGCAGAGTTATGTATTACTCTAAAATTACACATTAATGCTAGGAAATTGTTTTACGGGTTACGTACTCCTTATAATGTATAATCTCTTTTTCAGTTTACTGTAATAGTTCAGAATGTAATCTAATAGATAGTGTGTAAGTTATTGTTCCAAAATTCTCAACTCTCTGTAGAAATCATATTTTACATATATATTATATATTTTTTAAAGGACCACACTAAACTGCGAACTTTTTTAACCAAGGACATTGAATATGTGCAAGGACTGCAGTTGAATTGAATAAATATTGTTAAAATTTTTCGATCCTAGCTTTTACTGAATCTAGCTAGCAATAGAGCCTTAATGAAGGGAAACCGGGCTAGAACACACGTATCCGTTTTATTTGGGCACAAGGGTTCTTTCTCTGTTTGTGTTTGGTCTAGAATAAATGTAAGTAACTCCCTGCCTGGTCAAAGAGTGCCCGGTTCAGGGCCCCCTGTGGGAAACTGTCAAGTAAAGTTTCGCGGGTAGGCAGGAACGCTCTTCCATAGAACCAACTGCTTGGACTTGGCCTTGGACTTCCTTTCAATCTTCTCGCAAATTTACTGACAACAGAAAATAGGGAAACAGGTCTGTAGCTCTCCACTTTAATTTTGGCACCTTTCATATAAAGCGGAATAACTCTGAGCTGTGTAAATAATAAACAAATAAGCAGCTATATTCCCGGCCTTCGGAATTTTACCAACTTTGAATAAATTATTAAACAAAGAGCGCAGGAGCGAGGCTAGTGAGTTGCCGCAACATTTCAAGATTCTTGGATGAATGTCGTCGGGGCTACAGCTTCTATAGGCATTCAATTCCAACAGGAGATTTTTAACTTCAATGCGTTTGATACCTGCGCGAAATTCTTTGTCCTATCAACTTTCAGGAAGTTAGGAAGATTAGTCAAATTTTCCGATGCGAAATATTGATTTAAACAATCCGCAATGTTTTTTTTTTTTTATTAAACAGAGTAACTGTACCAACTTAGAGTATCTCATGGTCGTTTGTTCAACTTTAGCTGTAGCCCTCCTTTACAATCTTGACACTCAGTTGTTTAAAATAATCTCAAAGCGCTTGGTTGTATGACTTAATTTTTGCTTCATTATTCAAATGTTGGGAACGTGTTTAATGCATTTAAAGTCCTTGCTGTAATAAATAATATATTCTGGCTCAATATTTTTTTTTCACTCTTAATTTTTGTTACAGGGAATTAGATTTAGAGCATGTCTTAAAGGATATTATCAGCCAGGGCAGGATAATCAAACGCTTATCTCAACAGTATATTAAAATTAAAGTTCTTACCTTTGTTTGAGATTCTAATGAGCAACCTTCTATAAAGGTTTTTATTTGAGTCACCTCCATTACCAAGGGTTTTGCCGACATGAATGAAAGGCTTTGTGCTAGAAACTTCCAGTCAAATCTTTAAACAGTGACGGTAACTCTTTGGGAAATGTCTGTAAAAGGCTCTTCGAAACCGAAAAGGGTAATCCATTTTTATTGTTACGTTCACTCGTTCTCTTATTCTTCCTTTCAACTTAACGTTATGTACAAAAGAAAAAATACACAGATCTAGACATTGTTTCTGTTCTTTGACAGAGCATACAATGCACAGCCAATAGAGGCTGGGTATTTTCAGTCAAAAAAGGGAAATCAAACGCATATGTCAAGCAAAAAGAACTTCGTCACGCGTTAGACTTATCGTTAAAGCTTATTCAGCCCTTCTTCTGAATTTCCAAACCCCTCTCCCTCGAAAAAAAGAAAAAATTACAGTGTTCTGGTGTATTTTTATTGTGCTCATCGTGTATTCATAACAATCATTTTAGATGACCAAGCTCGAATTTCTGCTGCCCATTACTCGTGTTCAGCTAAGTTTTTGCCTGGTAACGTAATTTTACAAAACGGTTGAGTTCTTTGAAAGGTCCTTGAAGTGACGACAACGTGTGATTAGCCATGTCGGCGGTCGGTTATACTAAAACAAAGACGCTCATGTCCATCACCCACACTTGGACTTTGCCGATTCTTACAATCTTAGGTTACCGCCATGGAGCAATTCAAGATATTTTCCCTCTTCATTGATAATAGAGTAAGGCCTTCCCCTTTCGCACCCACTTCATGTTTGTCTGGTGCAATTTTAATGAATGAATAATACAGGTCGCAATCTTGTATCTTCAGTTTCAAGTTTCGATTGATGTTTAATTGTGGAGAAGAGTGCCAGCGTGCGGCGAGAGATTAAGCATCGACCAGCGGGTGTCCATTTTATCCATCTAGTATGCGCGAGTAAATGACCGCTGGCTCGCATCTCAAGTTTTCTTCGTGCCTTCTTCTTTTTGTCACTCATGTATGAGCAAAAAAACCTCTTGAACTAGTATATGAATTCAATTTACCAAAAATATTTCCAGAGCAAAAGTATCACTACACTTTTTTTTGGGCTATGATTTTATTCTTCGTTTTATGTTTGTGTGCGTTTTTTTAAATTTATTTTTGCAGCTGAAATCTATTCTGTTTACATCGACAACTCTATGAAAAAGTGTAGAATTCCATTTGTTGTTTCCAGTTTTGGTTTATTTATCTATTTTCATACATTAATTTAACTTCAGTTACATTTGTTTTTAGTGACTTTCGCTGATCTTCTTTTCAGTTTTATCATCTGACCAGATCGTGGTTTAGATGCTTAATTCAAGTAGAACAAAAAGAGTAAAAGGAGATCGTTGTTGGAGATTTTTTAACATGTTAAAACTAGGTTCCTATCCCCGCTTCGCAGATTTTCTTCCGTTTTTCTCGTTTTCTTTCTTCCCCTGAAACTAAACACGCAATCTATTATTATGTTCCTACGTGGCCAAACAAAGAAGCTATGTTTACATTGTAATGTTTAATATTCAGTCAGGTGTTTTTTTTCATGTCTGTGAAAATGATATAAAACTTTTACGTGTTCGATTACTCCAAAATGTTCTGAACTGCTAACAAGCTATTCAAAGCGCTATATAACTACAATTTTGATCAAAGATCCAGTTCTTACCCTCAGTGTTGATCAATTCTCAACGAAACAAACATCTGTTCAACCGAAAAAGCTGATATCTCTTTTGCGGATACATGAGAAAAGTGTTGTGTTCCTCATTTTGACACACAGGTGTGGAAATCAAAGAAGTATTTTTTTGATATTTACTCAACCTACACCTGCCCATATGATTACTTTTCTTGCGAACACTGCTATTCACGTGTTCTGTATCCAATAACTGTGGATATGGGTTTGCCTTCTTTCATTAGTATTACGAAAACAGAAAAATGTTTTGGACTTCATAGATTCTATGGAGGAACTGCAGTTTACTTTAAAAGGGCATTAAAAAAATGTTAACTTCATCTTGTGGTAGCAAAGAAATTTAAACGACATGAAAAGAAACTTGACCTGCTGACTTAAGAAAGACGGGTGTTTGCTACATATCAGTAGTGTTGCCGATATCAGATCACAAATGCACGCACAATGGGATCAGGAGGTTTAGAATAACGAGATTTTGGGGGAAACAGAACGATTGAACAAATATTTCCATTGTTGTAGCTTTTTTCAATGGAAATGAAATATCCAGTTTGGGAGGATTATAAAATGACGAGCCTCAGCTGACGGTGTGAGACACATTGCAAATCAGTCGAGTGAAGAACTCAAGATGAATTATCAACTACTTCTTCTGATCCTCGGTGCTTCCTTGGCTTTGGCAGAATTGCAAATGGACTTTCCAAGACCTCCAGTAAGTTCAGCTCTTTTACTGTTTCCTTTATTATCTCTTCAGGAATCAGGGATGGATGCTGAACATACAGAACAGGGAAAACAGAATAATTACATCTAAAACAGAGACGATCACTTTTAATTCCCTTTCCTATCTATGATCCAAACATTTATTAAGTTCCTTGAAATGAAGGGGTCCCCTTTAAAGTACCGCGAATCAGTAAAACTGCAATGAATTGACCCCTTCCTATAAACTTTCTCATAGAGACAATGCCAAACAGAGTATGACAACTGCATCAGTAACGCAGGAAAAAAGCCATGTGGAAAGGTTTCCTGTGAAGTCGACGCTATCAAGTGCGCCAGGAAAAATTTGCCTTCACCACCATCCAATGTGAGTGACGAGTACGGCATATGTTAACGGATACCATATGTCCTCTAACAAGCACCCTAACCCATTCAAGCACCCTCCCTCGAATATGCGCCTTTTCCCTTAGGCCATAATCTCAAACACGGTGCTCTTCTCAAATAAGCGCTCCACTCTCCTCCAACTCCCTTTTTTGATTAGTAGGGATACAAAGAGAACCTGTTTGTATAACCACTCTTTATAACTTTTTAAGCTCTAACTAAAGGGGAATCAGTGCAGGAGAATAATAGGCGACCCCCCGATTAAGCGCCCCTCTTCCAAGAAGCGCCCCTCCCTTTTGCCGAGATTTTAAATAAGCCCCCGGGTGCTTATTCAGTTGAAAACGTTACTAGTGTTTCTTCCTGTCAGTCCAGTGAAAGCTTTAACATCTTCTAAAAAATTAATATGAACTCCTGGCTCTTCAAAGTATTCCCTTTCCAGGGAAAATAATGGAAAGTAATTTCATCATGTTTTCCTTTCAGCCAAGTTGCAAAAAGTTCTTCAATTGTGTCGACCAGGCTAATAATTGCAAGGCGCAGGGAAGTTGCCTTGTTCTCTTGGAAGCGTGCAAAGGCGACATGAACCAATCCAAACGGGAATCGAACAAACTTCGCCCGTCGGGAGGGCCAGTTCCGGCTAAATGAAGAAAAGTCCAGTCCGAGAGTGCATAGTTTCGAGTCTTGGATAAAATGTAGCTATTATGAATGATGGTGTCAGGCGAAATAAAGCACTGAAATTAATCAATTATATTCTTTTGCCTGGCCTTTTGCGAGAGTGACGTGACGAACACAGCTAGTGCTCTTCCTTTTAAACCCTTTTTGCGCAATGCTGATATTTGACTTGATTTAAAGCTACTACGAAAAGACATCAGCCAAACTGTTTCACCGTGCGAGGCCACGGTATTTCAAATTTTCCACTTTGTTTATCCCAAAAATATGCTTTAGCATTGACATTTCTCTGGAACGTATTTGCCTTATTAACATGCCACTTCTAACTTCCACAATTTCAATGTATTATTCAAGAAGCAGGTGATGTGAATAAACAAACACACCAGCTGGAAGATTTTATCTTAAAATAATGCAGTACCAAATTGCTGGGGAGAACTGCTGATCACGTCAACGGGGTAAAGAGGTTAGATTTCAGCAACATGTGCCAGAACGAGCCATGGCATCTGTCTTCATTTTTATTTTTACTCCTTCTTCCATCTTCCTTGGGTTCTAAACTATTCATTTTGTCTTTTTATTTTTTGCCCTGTGGGAATGTGCGGCGACTGTGAAAAAAAAACACCTATTTAGTACAAGCGGGGTCATGGGTTTTCCTACAGAACCATTCAAATCTTATTTATTGCAACGCAAAACATTTCGTTTTTTGTCTGCTCAGCGATGTATATCAGGAGCTCATGATTAAGAATTTTTTTCTTCAAAAAGAGATAACAATAAAATATGAATAATTTATACCGACACGAACGACACTCTTTTGTAACTAGTTGGAAGCTAAACCCCCGTTGGATTGACTGTAGTATCTGTTGAATTGCTAATGAGGCCTAAAAATTTGGTTAACATCTGCCAGAAAGAGTATTTTTTACAATAAATTTCGTTCGGGCAAAAGTATAATAAAGCCATATTCATTTTACAATGGAGAAACTTCAGCAGAGTGTCGAAAGTTCTTCAGTATCGCGATGGTTTTGCTTTACTTCACTCTCGGATGGAGTGAGGCAAATTGCCATTTTCTCCATCAATCACATCCAAAGCTAAAACTGGAGTGTGCCGATCAATCTGAAGCTTCAACATTCTCCCCGCCGGTGACTCACGAGTATTTCATTGTCGTCCCTGCCCGGGGGTGGGAAATTTCAACCGGCCTGGGTGGGTTGAGAAATTTGAACCGGTGGAATACACGAGGAGTTTAAAGGTAGAGAGTCCGCTTTCGTGAGAAAATGCCTTAGAAGAAAATTTCCACATCGTAGAATGACGCTTACGAGAGGAAAACCAATAAGCGGCAACACAAACTTTGCTTGATTCTACAAAATCTAATGATCACACGAAGACCTTTCGTTATGCTTGGGTGGGGCATTTGAACACATTTTTTGCACGGGGTACGCCAATTTGAATGAGCCAATTGTCAAAAGTTCAAATGCCCGGGGGGGATGTTGAAGATTGGAATTTATCGATGCATTAGTGCCTCAGGTCAAAACATTTTCAGGCGACTAAAGTAATTTGCATATATATGCTCTAATTTATCAAGTACTCATTGTGATATTTCTCTTGATTTCTTAGCTTTTATCTGGTTTGCTTGCCCATGGCGCGTGCCAATCGTTTAGCGCAGGAATTACATTTTCTGCTTCAAGCTTTGCGATTTGCAACGCGCAGTGGAATTAAACTATTACCTGTAATCTGCCTTGCTACTGCACTGAAGCTTAGAGGTTCAGGGCGGAGGTGATATACAGACTTTAAATCTTGTAAGTTTGGTAGTTTAGAATAGGATCTCAATGGAGTAACGGCTTTTAAGGCTAACGGTCATAATGTTGGCGATTTTACGGCCAACGGTTAATATTATTCCATCGTTGTCACCAGAAATTGCTTTTACGGCTAACTTTTATTGTACACCTATCGGTTAAAATGTGTCAATTATTACGGCTAACGCCTAAATTTTTTTGGCCGTTTTACGTCGGTTGGATAAGATTCAGAGAGATGAGCTTCGAATGAGGTGGGCAATGTTTTCACCTTTTTTGACATCATTACGTTATTAATTAGATTTCCTCGGTGGCGTTTCACTTGGTATGGGACGTATCTGGCAAGAAGTTTAATTCTTTTTTGACTAAGGAGTCAGGATTGCGAAGTATGGGCATGGTTATTGATGTGAGGCAAAGAAAAGACTTCCCAAATGTGCATGTAATTGCTCAATGCTTTATTCTCAAACTATCTCTATAGTTCAACAGAAGCTTCTTGAAAATCCCTCCCGTTACCATTAAGTACAACTGCTTTCTAGTTTCTTTGCTATTTTCCCTTTTTATGTGTTATGTTATCGACTGAAGAAGATGGTTTTCCCAGCGGGTGACTGCCAGCCTAGAAAGCTGCGCAGTAGGACGGTGGGTTTGGATCTTCATTCATGCAGTACTTGCTGCACACTGTACATTCTAACTTTTTTGTGCAGTCTTCTTGAGCTAGTTCGAAGCATGTATTTGTCTTGTCAAGACAGGGACTCTATCGGGGAAAAGAAGAAAATAGGTTAAGTTAGGGCATGAAGCAGGAACTGACGTGTATGTACATATAGGTTCTTGCCTGTACCCTTTAAATGTGCCATAAAATACTTTTTGCAAGGGAAATTTGAAAAAAATATTTTGAAGATATTTACTACCTACCGCTAGTAAATATAGTTATTTTCAGGTTGCTGGTGTTTAAATAAGCGTAGCGGTCACGAGTTCATATATACCATCGACAGAAGAATTCTACCGTGACGCGAAATGCCTCAAGACTAAGTTAGATTGTATATTACTGGAAAACTAAGGTATGTTTATCAGAGTAAGTCCAAGTCTTTTTAGGTTGCTCGAGAATGGTGCCGAGCATTTGATTAACATTTAACGATAATTTATTAGGCTGCTTACGAGAAAAGTGCAACAAATTTTTGCGGCATTATCACAAAATTTTGAAGCTCTCAACAACGAAGAGAGAGACAGAGAGAGAGAATGGGGCAACCATTTCATTCATAATGGACTCACCATCTTTGGAGGAGGCGTGGACGATTTCTCGGACGACAGGTCAGTTTTAAGACATACTCCAAAATTCTTCATGCACTCCAATCGTTTACAGGCATCAGTTTCTGCGTCAAGTTCACATTCTCCGAATTTCTGTTCACAATCAGTCTGTAAATGGGAGCATGGTTAGCAGTGCTTTCATCTGGTAATTTTGATGAAATCTAACTGCAGTCATTTAAACAGAGACAGCGAAAAAGTCAAGAATCATGTCCAAAAACATATGAATTGACTTATCACACTGCTAGGTAAGAGGCGCGCATCCAAACCCAGAGCTGTCGATCCAGGTTTAGTTTTGTAATCAGCAGTTAGTGCATCTTTCCTTATTAATCTCCTCCATACTGAACTAACCTCGTTTCCCCCCCCCCCTCCGTTTCATCTTTCTTTAAGTTTTTTCTCAACGTATTGACGTTCTATTTGATTTGGTTTGTTTTTAAGATGTCGGTGGATGAAAACTAGAGAGATACGGCGGGTTTGAGGCAGTCAGTGACTTCATTGGATCATTAACTATGCCCGATGTGATTTTTTAGCCTGATTTGAGCCCGCATTTTGAGAACAACTAAAATAATTTTGAAAGATGTGTCCTAGATCCTTTTCATGGGAAAAAAAGAAAAGAAAACTGTTTTTTCGAAAGGAAGTCGAGAGCGGCACTTAAAACTGACCATTTAACTTACTATGAATGCAGGTTGGCTTGTTGGATCATCCTGGCTCTCTACACCCTTCAATCCCTGTATAAGCTTATCAACGTTTTCGTTAAAGAACTTCAGAAGGGCTGGATGATAAAGCGATGTGTCGACTACGAAACCGACTGAAGCCCCAATGACCAAGAGAACGAGGAAACATTGTAGAGATCTCATCTTGAGTTGGTTGCTTGGCTGTTTTGCTTGGCAGTATAACGAAGGTACTTTAGTCTACTCTATTTATAGTTAAGACTGCTTACCGCTCCTACATCGTTCAAGGGAAATAACAAAAGAGTCTTTGTTCATTCATGGGACCTTTTTTGCCATGCCCTTGGGAAATAGGTAATGAGTTTATTTAGAGCGGATCATCGGTCCGAGGAAACAATTAAACGTACCAACATAAATACTTCTTGCCGTTATTTGGTTTTAACAAGGTTATAAAAGTTGAACAATCCTTGAGTTAAAGCAGGAAAACGCCTACAACCGAGTACAAGTTGTGACCATTTATTGTATCTCAAAATTATAGTCTTCCATTCGTGCGTGAATAAATTGGAGATAATTTGTGATGCTGCTTGAATAAGTTAGAGATCCCCTTTGGCTTCTCAAGTCGTTAGGCCCCGGGAAATAGATTTTCAACAGTGATGAAGAGTTTTTCTCTCCTTGCGCTTGTTTGCGTGTCTTGTGTCTTGCAATTTTATAACTGAGGTCAACATTGATCCGTAAAATTAGAAGACAGTTTTTCCGAGTGTAACTCTTTCGCTTCAGTTTCTACTATATTGTTTCGGCCGGATTTTGTCAGTGGGTGCAGCTGAATATACAAAAGATTTACAAATTTACCTTCGTGATGAAAAAGATAAAAAAAGATTTATATATTTAAAAAAGCCAGAAAAAACAGAGAAAAAACGAAAACAAAAGATCGACACACACTTTACAGCAACGTCTTGTTTATTTATCGGTACACCTATCTAGCTAAAAGATTCATTTTATATACTAGAGAATTAGTGAAACTTAACGAGTCTTGTTAAGTGTTTGCATTTGACGACCAATTATTTAAACATTAAGCCAAGACAGCTTGCACAGTTGTAGAGTGTTCACATTTGAGCAGATGGTGTACTTCCGCAGGCATGCAAAAATGACGCGGATAAGATAAAATGAGCATGTACACATGGCATGGACTGAAGACAAGACTCTTTAAGAGTTTAAGAATTACGCTCTTGTACTGCAGTGTGGTGCATTCCCTCAAGCGAGCGAATATTTTTTATATATTTGATGTCAAAAGTGAGCAAATTGGTGTTAGAATAATCTTAGCCAAAGTAAAATTTCTCGAAATTAAGTAACTATTTCTCTCCTTCAAAATGCTCTATTTTCTAAGCGTAAAAGCAGACGCGCTCTTTTTCAATCTCTACGTTTCTTGACTGGCCGAGTTTCAAACTTTGAATTAAGACTGAAGGTTGGTTAAAGTCCAACTGTTGCGATACATATGCCTGGGCTAATGTTGGATTTATCGCGAGCACAGGCACGGAGTGAAGCACACTCGACACCCACGGAATTAAGCACACTCGACTGCTATATCATCTATATAAACTGATTGGACTTTATTGCTTAAATCAAGGTTATTCATGATATACATAATGGCAGCCGTAATTTCACAGATGGCATGCAGCAAATACCTGAGCGCTCGCGTAGCAAACTTTTTAGTGTGTGGGGCTAAAGATGAACGCATAAGCTTTAGTTTTCAAGGAAGGAGGTAGGGGCATGCGTAGCCTAACAAATTTTTTTTTTTGGAAAGGTGGGGTGGGGGGGGGGAGAGGAGGAGGGGCTGAAGTTTCCCTCTACGCAGTCTCTGTACCTACATATGTCCTACGGAACTTGGCTTTAATTGAAGCAAAAACCTTCTCTAAGCAAGTTGTTATAAGGATCAGAAAGTACGAACTACATTTCGATATTCCATGGGATACGTACTGGGAATATCTCGGAAAATAATAAAAGTTTACCTGATGTTAAATTGACAATTATACGTTCTGAAAAGATAGGTATTTAATGTTCGATGTAAAATAAGTGTAGTCAGAGGCTGCTTGTGTTCCTAACTTGTCCATTCAAAAAGAGTCATTTTGCATGGTGTAAATCAAAATAAAACCAAATGTGTAGTTTAGAGCCAATATTGTTCTTGATATAATCCATTTGCTTTGCTCGTTTTTCTCCCTCTTTGTTGTTGCCCAATGTTATGATGTGAGGATGCAGTCAGTAATAAGATGTGAAGAACAGCCATTGCTAAGGCAAAACAGCATTAATTGGAAGGTGTCTTGATCGCTTATCGGTTTTTTCCAGAATTAGAGTCGTATGTCATTCGGCCAGGACGAAAGTGTGTAAAAGGCATAAGGCATCACCGTTAATTAGAGTAAGTAAGCTCCTTCTTTTTAAGCAGTCGTGGTCTTGACAGGTGTCGTATATTGGTGTTGATTACTGAGAAGTAGTACATGGCAGAGAAGCTGATGTGATCGATAGTAAAT